ATCCTAGTAGCTTTAACGTACTACTTTAAGAGGATATTAACTTACGCTTTAGTGTTAAGGATTACTAAGATTAGAAGGCCTTTATTTAACTAATTAACACTTAATATTTAGACCTTTAGTTATAGGTATATATTTAAAATAACTAAGGTTAGTAGTTTTACTATAGGCTTTATACCTTATACTTTATTAATTTTAATAAATATTAAGGACTTACTATTAATTAAGGTATTATACTTATTTAGTAGTTCTTTAATATCTTTTTACTATTAAGCTATTTCTTTAAGATTAATTAGGGACTTTAAGGCCTTAATCTAAACACCTTTAGTATTAATATACCCTTAATTATATAAAGTAGCGCTTATAGCTATATTAAACTCTAGCTATATCTTTTAGAAAAGTCTAATAAGAAGTAAGACTAAAGCGTCTAGCTTTTTATTAGCTAACCTTTTTACCTCTTAATATAAATTAAGGCCTTAAGCTTACTTAGAGGCTATAACTTCTTTTAATTTATTAGGCTCCCCCTTACTTATATGTAGTTTATAGTCTTTAAGGGCAGTTATAGATATAGTAGACTTTAGTTATAGTAAAATAGTTATATTTATCTTAGCTAGTAGGGACACCTAATCTAGATTATAATTATAGTTACTATTATTATTAACTTTTATAATCTTTTTATTCTTTAAGGTAAATAAAATAGTTTTCTTCTTAATTAGCTAAGGCCTAACTAACTTTTTTATACTATATACCTCTTATAATCTATCCTAGGTACGTTTATCCTAGCTAGTATAGTTCTTAAGAGGCCTACTTTATTATACTATAAAGATATTAGCGTATTTCTACTTCTTATCCTCTAGTTATACTATATATAGGCACCTAATATTACTTATTAGTGCTATAAATAGTAAATCTAAGGTGCTTTACTAAGGGTATCTAACTTATTAATCTAGGATACGCTTTACTAAGAACTTATAGTCTTTATTAATAGATATATTTATAATATAAGAGAGTAAGGTAACTTAATTAGTAACTTTACTTTATTAGCTGTCTTTAATTACTAGGAATAGTATATTATTTATTAGACTTTACTTATCTTACTTTTTATAATACTAGGCTCTTTAGACTAAGATTATAAGATATACGTCCTTATTAAAGGTATATTACTAATAATCTTAAATAAATTAATACTTATTAAACTAGTAGTACTAATATTTATCTTTTAGTCCTAATACTTTTACTTAATCTAGTTATATTATACTAACCTTAAACACTTAAGTAGACCCCCTTAGCTAGATAGAATTCTAATATATCTTAAGTTTACTTATACTATTAGTAAAGTCTTAATTAGTATTACTTAAGATTAGTTAGTTAACCTAGACGTTAATAGTTAATTATCTTAGTTACTAGTAATCTTAGTACTAATAAGTAAAGTTTCTTTAGGACTATTACTAAGCTAGTTAAGTTATAGAGGTACTATTAGCTTTACTATTAGTAAATAGGGGCCTATACTTCTTCTTATAAGTAATTATATTAAGGAGTCTACTCTTAAATATTATATACTTTATTAATTAAATAAAAGCTAAAAAGCTAATCCTTATTTTATTTACTACTTTTTTTATAGTCTTAGCGTTAAACTACTTATATATAGCCTTAATTAAGCTCTTATTAGAAATTATATAAAGGCTTTATTACTTTACTTTAGTAATTATATTATTAATACTAGTAAAAAGTACTTTAGCTAAGTATAGGTCTAAGCTAGAGATTAGTAATCCCTTTATAACCTACTTAATTTATTCTTCTTTATTAAGGAATTAATTAGCGTCCTGTTTTCTATACTCCTTTAAGAGATAAGCCCTAGCCTAGACCTAAGGTAAGTCCTTAATTATATTTTTTACTAGAGTTTAATAATCTCCCTTTATATAGTAGGCTACTAGTATACCTTTTAATTAGTCTAGTACTTATATAAGCTTATATTAATCTTTATATTTTTTTAAGAAGTTAATAATATTATCTTTAGAAAAAACTATAGTACTACTTTAGCCTAAAAAGGGTATCTTAAAAAAGTTTAAGTTCTCTCCTTAGTTAAGGACTATATTTACTATTACTTATAAGACCTTAGGCTAAATCTAGGCAGTAAGAGCAGTAAGGAGGGTATCTATAGAAGGGTTAAGTTCCTAAGAGATAAAAAGAGGTTTCTATTTCTAATTAGGTACTATAAGTAGAGGATTAGAAGTATTACTACTCTCTTTATTTTTAGAAAGATTAATCCCCTTTAGCTCTTAATACTTAGTAAAAGCTAGTCCTCTTACTAAAGTAGTGTTTAAGGTTAAGCCTAGGGTATACTTAAGAGCAGCCTCTTAAGAAAAAGTAGTATAGTTATTACTTATTATATTAGTTAGTAGTTATCTAGTATATAACTTATTAATTAAGTTAAAAATTCTAATAATTATATACTAATTTAAACTCTTTAAGATCTTCCTTAAGAGTACTAAGGTAACTTATCTTATTATTTAAACTAAGCTATACCCCTAATTAGTAGAACTTATATAATTATCTTTAGCCTTAGCTAAACTTATTAACTAACTTTTAATAAAGAGGGTCTTTTAATTTATTATAATTTCTCTATAAAGTTATAATAAGTATTTAAATTAGTATACTTATAGGGAGTCCTAAGGCTAATAGCTTTATATCTCTAGATTAGGTAATTCTTAAGGTATTATTTTATATTAATTAACTATAAGTAACTAATTATAATAAACCACTTTACTTATAGGGACCTTTAAGAGCTTTATCTAGCTCCTTTAGTATTTCTATAATTTATCTTAGTTATTATTATAAATTAGTAACCTTTAAGGTTCTAACTTATTATCTTAGTCTTATAATTAAGTAATTTTTATTATCTAAGTTACTAATCTATTACTTTATTATCTTATTATCTTTTTAGGGTTTTCCTTATTCCCTTAATTAGTTACTTCTTATAATCCTATTATCTTATTATTATTACTTTTATAATAACTTACTTAGTATACTTAACTAGATATCTCTCTAATTAGTTTAAACCTATAGTTAATCTTCTAGAAGGGAAGACTATTAAAAGCGTATAGGGTATAAGGACTCTTATAGTGTAGTGACTATATAGAACACTATAACTACTAAAAGTAATATAAGATTTCTTACTAATTAGTGTATAAATCGTCTTAATCTATCTAGAATTAATATTAATTATAAGTATTAAATTATAAGATTAAGTATAATTATACCCTAATTAGGTAGGTAATTACTCCTAATTATCTTATGTTATTATAATTAGAGGTAAATTATAGAAAGGCTTTAGTTTAATCAGAAGGTAGGTATAAGTATAAAGGATAGATTATATATGTCTATCTCTAAATCTATTAACGCTAGCTTATATCTATATACTTAATTAGGATTAGGATCTTCTGATCGAGTACGCATACTACCTCGCTCTGGGCTGATCGCCCTACCCTGCTCCAATAGTCAATCTGCCTTGCCAAGGTAGACATTATCGCATGGCCGCAAGGGGCCGCGAGCTATAGACGTGGATAACAAGTAACGTGGATAACGGGGGTCCTGTCAATTAAACCTCTAAGAAACCTTACCCTATGACTTTTGCCATTTTCGGAAAGCGTTGGCCGACTTAGATGCAGGGGAAGTTTGAAGTCAAGTTGAAATATGCTGTTGGTAGCAGATTAGACATGGGGCCTACGAGCAGACCATGTACGCACCAATCCGATGCATCTGCCACCACACCTTCCACTCACCATACCGATCCAGGACAGTGGTCGCGAAACAAAATGAGCCTTCCGGGGCATCGGCCAGGCCGACGTGAACCTGCATGCAGTCAATAAAAACTGGTGCTAGCCGCCATCCCGGGCCGTCTCGGGCCTGGCCGCAGTTGGTAGGTCGCTCCGTTGGGACCGGGACCATTTGAAGAGTTCGCCGATGATCCTAACGCCGTTTGAAACGTAATCCAAGGAGATGAGAAGTTCATGGTGGGATTGTGATATCAGCCTCACCGCGCTAACCCTTCCTGCGGCCGTGTATAGGAAAAATACCTATTATGCTGGGTAAGCTGGCCAAACATGTTGGAGCAGAACCTCCTAATTCCGGCAATGGGCCGCAATGCCGGAAGGTAGGTATGGTTTTCGAGGCGCAGTTGGCTGCCGTGCTTGACATGGTCTAATGCAACGACAGAATTGCCTGAGACAAACTGGAAATACGAAGGCCCTAGCCAATACCTGTTGCATGCAGCAACCCCATGGGCGTTACGCCCTTCTTCTCGTGCCGTGCTACGACACCGACGTCGACCCTCTCGCCATCATCATCTAGGCCCTAGCATAATCTAGTCACCGAACTAGTCACCGAACTTGCGCAGAGGGGCACCATGGTTAAAAGTCGGCCATTTCCCCCCAAAAAAAAAGGAAAAAAAGACCTGGCACACGGAAATGCAAAACCAAGTGAGAATATAAGCGCCAGCACAAGGATTCCTGCGAAGATGAAACCAACTTTGGATCTCAAGCCTGCACCGAGTGTGTAGAGCAGATAAGGCATGCTAAATTTGACAAGGAAGTTGGCTATCATGTTGAACATCGAGGCTGTTTGCAACGTGTCTCGGAGTAGAAGGGCAGGGACTTGGCCGCGACGACGTAACTTAGGGGCGCCTGGAGATATTTTAGCTGGATTGATCCCGATGTGAGCAAAAGAAGAGCCATATGTCCATACAAAGACATAGACAGCAGCATACACTGTCGACATGGCAACAATCCTAGTCTCCATCACAAACAAAGGACCAGGATGCCCTTTGCCTCATTCAATTCTGTGATCTGTATTCTCAGATCACTTTAGAAGGCCAATGAGGAAGAGACTCTTCGGTTTGACATGTTCTCAGAGCTGGGGCCAGATATAGTGGTGTTGTGAAATGATATTCTTGGGAACGCCCCATGTCTATAGCTAAGTCTTGATACACGGCTGACTTTGTGCGCTTATAGTACATAACCCAAGTTAACATGCACAGCCTTTGTCTGCGAGTAGGCGGCAAGGCCAGCTTCTCCCAGTTCACGACCGATGCCACTCTGCTTAACACCACCGAATGGAACACGGATGTCCGAGTCATTGGAGCTATTAATCCAGACCATGCCCGACTCTAGACGAGCGGCGACGCGATGGCATCGCTCAATATCCCTGGAAAATAGCGCCGCACCGAGTCCATAGGAAGTATTGTTTGCCAAAGAAACGGCCTCTTCTTCCGTCTTGAACGGGGTTATGGCAACGAATGGGCCAAAAACTTCCTCTTGGAAGATTCGCATGTCCTTCTTCACATCAGAGAAGACAGTGGGTTCGATAAAAAATCCCTTGCCATCGCCGACGTTCTTGTACGGAACACCGCCAGTCACCAGGCTAGCGCCTTCATCCTTGCCGGCCTGTATGTAGCTAAGGATCTTCTCATACTGCGCCTTGGTGATCTGAGGGCCCTGGAACGTGTCATCGTCGAAGGGGTCGCCGACCTTATTCTCCAGGCAGATTTTCTTGAAGCGAGACACATAATCCTGGTAGACCTCTTCTTGGACCAAGATTCTGGACGTGGATGTGCAAATCTGACCCTGGTTGCTCATGATTCCGACGTGTCCCCACTTGGCGGCTTGATCGAGATCGGCGTCCTTGAAGACCAGAAGAGGTGACTTTCCGCCCGTCTCGAGAGTGATGTTTTTGATGTTGGCACTAGCTGCCTTCATGATCTGACGTCCAGTTGTCGTGGAGCCGGTGAAGGCAACCTTGTCGACGTCAGGATGAGAAGCCAGTGCATGGCCAGCTTCCCTCCCGAAGCCATTCACAATGTTGATGACACCAGCAGGAAACCCAGCTTCCTTCACCAGGTTCGCGAAGTACAAGATTGAGAGAGGCGTTTGCTCAGCAGGCTTCATAATAACGGTGTTGCCGCATGCCAACGCCGGGCCCAGCTTCCTAAATGTCGGTTAGCTTTGACCCTAACATAAATCACACGGTCACTCACCAAGCCGCCATCATGATTGGGTAGTTCCAGGGGATGATCGAGGCACACACTCCAATAGGTTGTTTCAATGTGTAAGCAAACTTTTTGGGTGTAGTTGGGATTGTCTCGCCGTGGATCTTGTCTGCCCAGCCAGCGTAGTAGCGGAGAGTGGCGATTGTCTCAGCGACGTCCTCGCCAAGAGCAACATTGTAGGGTTTGCCGCCATTCCAAGTCTCAAGAGTCGCCAACGCCGCTTCATGTTTCTCAACAAGATCGGCAAGCTTAAACATGAGCCGACCGCGGTCGGTGTTGGAGATGTCCCCCCATCCGGGAGCGTTCAGTGCTGCGCGGGCTGCTTTCACGGCCCTGTCAACATCGTCGGCTGATGCTGCCTCAACTGAGGCAATTTCAGACTCGTTGCTATCAGTTGGTCAGCGGTGGCGAGCGATTGCTTGTCCGTTGCATACACACCTTGGGTTGATGGCTGTGATCTTAGAATCGCTGTTTCCTTTGACAAACTCATTGTTAATGAAGAGACCAGTGGGGAGGCTGATCTTGGTGCCGTTTGGCGCGGTTAGATCCAAGGTAGCGGCAGACATATTTTATCAGTATAACTATCACGACAGATTGCTTCAAGAATAACAATATTACTGAGGGCGAGATGTTAGGATGCGATGTCGCTTTCATGCGGGGCAAGAAACAGCCCGTCATTCTTATCTAAGTTGTAGAGCAATGCCCTTCCGACTGATGTGGTAATCAATATGATAACAATCACCATCGAACCAATAGGTTAAGTGGATATTGCAGACCGAGATGGGCGGGGTTATCAACTGAGACTTTGTCCCTCAAAGGGGGCAATTGATAGGCAATTGATAAGCTGAGCATTGCAGAGCGGTCTCGGAACAGAATATTTTGGGGCGGTGCATGAAGCTTCCCCGCGCCCTCCAGCCCTCAATGACTTGCAGCCTGGATCTGATTAGTTGCATCAATTACAGCAGTTCCAGGTCATCACAAAGAGGTGGGGAGATGAGACACTCTCTCTATGAGCTAGCTGGTTCGACTCTAATTGAGCTATCCTAATTGGGTAATGATTTTGACCACTGGCGCGGGCTCCAACGTTGAACTGCGCATAACCAATCGCATGGGAAAATATGATGCAGTAGAATGTTATTACTCTTACGAGATGTTAAGCTATCATGATGAAAATGGGGGGTTCTATCGGAGTCGTGAAAATATCAGAATTTACAAGATGAGAAATACCACGGCATAATCCTCAAGACATTTTTGTGACGCGGACCTGCTGCGTATCTACACAACTGGGGATATGTAGGCCATAGCCATGCTCGTATTTTCCAGAAACTCTCTCGCACTTGACAAAACTATCCAACTGACTCTGCTTTCTCCAGAAACTGCCGCGTAGGAAAAGAAGTGCGATATTACGTACAACTTGCAGAGAGGCGCATGTCAAGGGCAACTTAATACGACTCCTGTTAACTTTCAGCCAATTGTCCATTGCGATGCCTCTATAAGCACATGGCGGCCTGTCCTTCAGGCAGGTAGCAACGCCTCAGCCTCAATCTCAATCTTCATGCCTTCCAGCGCAAGCTTTCCAATCTGGACACATGTCCAGATAGGACGGTGATTAGGGAACAGCTTTTTGAACTGGGTAGTCATGATATTGAAGCTTGCTTCCATGTCGGTGTGGTAGGAGCGGATTGCGTAAATGTTGTCAAAAGATAACTCAGAGTCAACGGCCTGGAGGGCCTTCAGAGTGTTGTCAAACGCAAGTTCGATTTGCTTCTCGATGTCGGAAGTGATGCCGCCCTTTTCATCCCAGCCGCCCTGGCCCGAAGTGCGAACTATGCTGCCGATCTTGACAGCTTGGGAGTAGTGGTATTGCTCGGCATTGATCTCGGTGCCGGGATAATTGAAGAACTGAGCGGAAGACATGATTGCGGATTATTTGAGGTCTCGGTTTTCGACTTGTATGCCTGGGAAATGCGTGGAGACGAGTTTGAGAAGGATCGCGTCATGAGCCGGTGGCTAGGTCTATCACTTATTTACATCAAGTTGGCTACAAGCGACAGTCACGTCACTCTACAAGCTCCGTGCGGGGATATGACCTCTCTGAAGCGAGTATCCTGGTTGTTATCTGTGGCTGTAAGACATCGGCCTGGATTGATTTGTTGGTATCTTATGCAGTGTGGTCTCAATCGGGCCTTGTTGAACCATCTGAATATGTGCAGTGTCATGTCGTACACGTCCAAGTGGCCCATCGTGTTGCCCAAGTTGGTATAGCGGCCTGCAAGAGAACAGGAGAACTCAGCTTGGCCGCGTCATGCAAAACGCAGAAAAGGGAAAGATAGATGTCAGGAGAAAAGCAAATCTAGGTGAGGTCGAGGCACGAAAAAGAAATATTATCTACCGTGCCAACGATACCATGATTGAAAGAGAAATTTGATTGATGACTACTAACATTCATTGACCCCAAAAGTGTTCCTCACGAGGGGTTACGGATTCGCTCAGGTCAAGCGGTTCGCTCCTAGTAAGTCACAGCTGTGCAGTTCCTATCCACTCAGCCTCAACAGACTTTCCAAGTATACAAGAGAAGTTGTTTCGAGGCACCGCAGCAGTATTACAATCCCCACAGCTATCACGGGCGTACTCAACGTAGAAGTATTGCCTTAATAAACAGTGGACTCATCGAGCTTATCTTAATTACCTGCAACCATATGCAGTATCTAACTCGAAGTACGCAAGGGTAATCTTGACACATATGTACAGTCTGATCGACATTACATCTTTGCATCTCTTCCGAGGCCGGTCTGGCCGATTGCAAACTCCTTCCTCTCATCTGCAGATAATCTAGTATCGGCAATCTCTCCCGTTTGCGATTGCTCTTCCACGGTCGCTAGCTTGTCTTCCTCGACCGGGACATGATCTCTGACAACGAGCCAGGTAGGGTAAACGGACAGAACTGCATTGAGTTAGTGACATCTTCCATCGGCAGTCAGATATCGAATAGACTTACCCAAAAGAATCGTGTTGACAGCCAGCGGTACTCGCCCCCCCTTCCACTTCTGGGTGTTCAAGCCGAAGGAAATGGCCTGGGAAAAGCTCTCCTGGCCTCGCAAGACGCCCGAAAAGCGCGCGAGCTCCGAGATGTTGTCAGTCTTGGTAGCCAGGAGGTAATATAGCCAGTTCTGGAGTGCCTGGCGGGCAAAGTCCCAGAGTAAAAGCACAAAGAAACCCTCCACGAAGCCTTTATCCTCCCAGTCATACGCAGGGGGGTTGCGGGTGTACTTTTCCTGGATGACCCATCCGTAGATCCAGGCGATGATGTGCCACACAATGACGTAGTAGAAGCCGTAGTTGATGCGCTTTTTAACACTCAGCTTCTTATGGTCAAGAAGCATGCTAATGATCTGCGACGAGAGAAGGGTGCCGAAATTGCTGACGAAACCGATGAGAGCGCGAGCTCGGACACCGAAGTAGTATGACTGGAAGTTCCCACTGTATTGGTTGAAATAGGCAGCCCAGAAGATTGGCAGAAGAAGAAGGACATCCTTTCTCTTAGAGACGCGGAGCAGCTCCTGGAACTCAGCCTTGAAAGACTTCTCTGCCTTGATGATGACCTTGCTGCCATCGGATCGTTGGACCTTCTCGGGAGGTGAAAGGGCAAGGGCAAGAGGGATACTCAGACATTGCAATGCAATGAAGACCAGGTAGGTCTGGGATCCGACCTTGCCCTTTGCTTTCGCGGCGGCATTGTTGTTGAGTGCCAGGACGATAGCACCGCCAACAAGAGGACCACCGGTTCTGAACCAGAGCCAGACTGTTGTATGTGGTCAGTCCCTAGTCGAAATTTTGATCGTTCTAACAATTGACTTACTATTCATATACTTGCCGCGCTTCGATGGCTCCGGGTAACCCAGTGCAACAGCACCCTCAGACGCCCAGAACAGGCCGGCGGAGATGCCACAAGCGACCGCCCCAACCAGCACGAACCACACGTTGCCGAAGCGGTTGTTGGTGTAGAGACCAGCCGAGTAAAGGGGGTAGCCAACGGCGCCCAGCAAAAGTGTCCACGAGAGTCCGATGCGGTTCGCGATGGGTCCACCAAACAGGCAGAGGAAGCCCATGAGACCGAAGACAAGCGCATTGGCGGCATTGACAAGGAAAGGCTCCTGGGCACCACCTGCGCCAAGTGCGTTCATCGCATTCCAAAGACCAGGCGCCATAAAGCCTGATGTTGTGTTAGTTGCTGTGTGGGACCTAAGCGCCTGGGATACAACATACCGACTCCTCCAATGACGAAGGCATTGAACAGGGTGCTGTGATACCACACACGCTTTACAGGCGCGTCTGAGGCCGTATCTTGGACCTCCGCCGGCGCAGACTTGTGTGCTTCTTCGGCCATGGTTGCCAATGGTCAATTCGAAGACAGATGCCTAGCTCTAGCGGGGGTATTACAAGACGAACTCAATTCAAGCTATATAACTCTCTTTCCTTCGGCTTGCACCGTCACAACAACCGTCAATAAGCTACCCCAGCGCCACAAAATTCTCTCGAAGTTTTCTCCATGGGATGAACTCCTCATTCTCCGATCAAATGACGAATACGATAGTGCAACGTTGAATCCACCTCGTCAGCGAGAAGCTTGCGGCCTATTCGGCAGCCGACGATGAGGATCCACTGAACAGCCGATGGGATGCCGACCATCGGCCGTTTTCCGACGGGAAACTAACCGCAAGGAAGCTAGTCGTTGCATGGGTTTTAGAGCACCATGGTGGATTAGTGATAAATATCACACATAGGAACAGCGGTTAAGTTTAAAGCTTCGAGATGAAAATGTCAGTATGATATAGAATTCACCCGTATGGACAAAACAGTTGATGTAATCGTGATATAAAGAAACAGAGAAGGGTTTGTAGCTTGCAGCTCGCTAGTTTTAGCGACTAAGTGAGTAGAAGGGGCAGAATTATTATTATAGGATAACTAGGGCCCCTAGTACGTAAGGACAGCAGACACATGAGGAACGGTCCTTTTTCAATTACGTAGGGGACGAACACACAGGACGTATGGAATAGTGGGTAGGCTATGAGAAAACCACTTTAATTTAACAACGGGGTGAAGTAGGGCATCCCAATTCATCGTAGACGCTTTCGTGGTTAGCGAAAACTCGCGGCCGATGGCTCAGTTGACTTCGCAGCCATACTCCATAGGCCCCTGTTGTCAGGCGTTAGCTATTATGTGGCACCGGAGGTAGTAAACGGCTGGAAAAAGAAAGAGATAAAAGATCAACATTAACTTGAACGTCGAGCGGATTCGGATGTGGATTACCCTTGAGAATAAGGTAGGTCTCCCAGTCAGTGATGCCACACCGAGGTAGTGCGAGCGTCCAGCTTCCCGGAAGTCCTGGAGGTTGCTCAATGGAAAAAGTACTCTGTTCGTCAGCGAAACCCATCCAAGATGGCCCCTAACATACCTCCCGGTGCCTGCAGATCACATTTACTTACACTCAGAGAGGTTATGGCGGTTAAGTAGAAGCAGGCCAAGTACTGTATGCACCCCACCAATTATGGTTCTTAGAGAACGGCGACGCACCTGCCACGGGTACGGTAAGTCAGATACCGGATCGCGAGGGTGCAAGTGGCGCTCCGAAACATTCCTATCAGACCTAATACGGGTACAGAGTGTGCGCGTGGTGATGAGATATGTAAGAAGATAAATTATAATGGTTGCTTTTTCTATCAAGACCTATCTTATATTCACTGAATCTGTATCATCTACGCGGAGACAATCTTTGATGACCCGGGCAAAGTATTGACTCCGGAAAGGGCTCGCGTCTGGCCCCTGTGACGCCATCGGCAGAAAGGATCGCGCAAAGGTTATCGGCGAACATGTATCTCGGCAGCGTAGCTTGGTGTTGACGCCGGTATTTGATAGGTACAGTCGAATCGTCCGGTTAGGGTACCGTTCTTCTAGAGGTTGGAACCATTGGAAGCTCTGCATCATGCAAGTGTTTCAGCGCTACTGGTATCTTGGCGGCATCGCTCCATTACTGGAGCGGTTTTGCGAAGCCCAAGGCATAACTAGGGATATCATTGCGAGATCCTTAGCATTTTCAGTATAATATAGACACTGATAAGCGCGTTGCGGTGGGACTGCCGATAGCTCTGCCGTCTCCAGCGTTTTCAAGCACGTCATATGCAGTATCGATTCGTCACCAAGACCTGATGTATATATGCCTCCCATTTTGACGAGATATGAGGAGAGTGTCTCAGGAGCCAATCAAGCTACTAACTAAGTTCTGTCGGGCTACCTTTTTCCCGAAGCGCATCATGGCCCCTCGATACTCCAGCGTTGCCATCGTTGGCGCAGGGCCATCTGGCATTTCCGCTGTCAAGGCACTCAGCGAAGAAAAGGCATTCGATAGGATACAGTTGTTCGACAGAAGGCACCGTGTTGGCGGCACATGGTAAACGAAACGGTCTGGGGATCGGGAATATCGCTCACGAGAATTCACAGGATATACGACGAGGAGCCGGAGCCTTTCTCGACCTCCTCCAGTCAGCCTGACCGAGAAATACCAGAAAAGCTCCCACGGTCACTGCCACCCGCATCGGAGAACATCACCGCCAGAACCGGCCTCTATCCTTCCTTGGACAGCAATGTCGGCTCCCAGGTCATGGCTTTCACCTACAAGCCGTTCCCTCCTGTGAACTCGGCGACGTCCATCAGCCGCTTCGGCAGGGGGAACCCCACGCATCCTCACGCAGCGGTGGCGGGATACCTCGAGGAGATCGCGGAGCCGTTTTCGCACCTGTTCACTTTCGACACCCACGTCGAACGTGTCGAAAAGGCGGGGAAGAAATGGCGGCTGACCCTGAGGAAGACCCAGCACTATCTGAAACATGAGAAGAGAGACTACTGGTGGCAGGACACGTTCGATGCAGTTGTCGTTGCTACTGGTCACTACGGGGTGCCTTATGTGCCCAGCATCCCGGGGCTGGAGGAGACATTTGCTGCGTTGCCCCAGCGATTCGAGCACTCCAAGGCGTACAGGTCCCCTGAGGACTATGTGAACAAGGTTGGGCAGCCCTATTCCGAAGATTACCGTAGTCAGTGGCGGGATACTTGTTGACAGCATCAACCAGAAAGTTGTGGTGGTTGGCGGAAACGTCTCGGCCTCCGATACCGTCTCCGAGATCCATAACATCGTCTCCGACCCTCTTTACGTCTCGCAACGGGGCTATAATGAGATCTTGAAAGACGCGTGGGAGCTCCCGAACGTGGTCCGGAAGCCTCAGATCACTCGGATATCCGTGGGGCCGGACAACCTCGTCAAAGTGAGCTTTTCGGACGGTACGGAGGCCGGCGGCATTGAAAAGGTCCACTTCGGCACAGGCTACCGACTATCGTACCCGTTCCTGCGTCCGGACCCCGTCACGCCCAGCGGACGTCTCGCCGGGTTCTACCAGCACATCTTCAACGTCGCGGACCCCTCGCTCGCAGTTGTCGGGCAGGTGAAGGCGGCCATCTCGTTCCGGGTCTACGAGTACCAGGCGGTCGCGGTGGCGCGGTACTTCGCCAACCGGGGCGGGGGGCTGCCCTCGCCTCGGGAGCAAGACGAATGGGAGGTGAAGCGTTTGCGGTACAAGGGGCCCACGTCCGAGTTTCACGAGATCAAGCCGGACTTCAAGGAGTATTTCGATTTCTTGTGCCGAGTCGCGGGCAAGCCGGCGCCGGGCACAGACGCGTACGAACTGCCCGCGTGGCAGGACGAGTGGGCGGTGCTCGGTTTCGGCGTGTTGGCGCTGAAGCAGAAGTGGTGGGGGGAACTAAAGGAAAAGGGACAGAAGACATCAATTAAGGCCAAGCTATGATCAACAGATCCGGATGAAAAGACGATGTTGTAGAGTCTAGACCTGAGAAGTGAGTTTTCATTAAAGATCGTTGATGGGCTTGGGCCTTGGATGGAGCACGCCCCGACGTGTCACGGCCGGCATGGCCAAGTGGAGAACGATACATGAGAAGACCTCCAGTCACAAACGGTTCATCACGAGTAGAAAAAGCTGGAAGGAAGGCTGTTTCTCGACTGCATTTTCTTTTGTCTTGGGAGGAGCGGGGGCATTGTTACGATGGTATCGAGCACGACAAACCATACGGTATGTAGTTGGAAACATGCCTAACCAGCCCTTTGATAAATTTCTCCCATTTTCTTACTTAACTCCAATGCTCAGCATTTTATCTCCTTGTCCTACCCAGGTCGGTAGGCTGCTACGTCTCGGTGGGACTGCTCGAGCGGACTAACGCACTATTCACGATGGTTAATTCAGAATATAAATTGCCAAGACAGTGATCACTCTTTCTGACTTCATCTCATTTCTTATAGAAGAGAATTTCATCGCTGACCGAGTCCCGAGCTGTAGAGATGCTATGAGTGACATCAAATATTGATAGTGTGCTCATCAACTTTCGTCTAAAAGAGACCGTGTCGGTTTCTACAGGTGATCAATTGATTGATGCACAAAGCTTGCGAAGTTGGTGCGAAGTTAAAAGAATATATAGATGACTAGCGACTTTATAATGAGGCCTATAATGACAAGCTGCCTGAAAAGCTTAGAGCTCAATAGACTGACACCCGTCAATCACCAACACACTTAGCTATGTCGTTATGAGATACACCCGTTTTTACCTTTGGGGCATCCGCTGGTGCCATTCCCACAACTCCCAACCAGACCATCAATCCCCAAATGCTCAGGTGAAGCTGCATTCTTACAAGTGCGGCTATTCCAAGTGGTCGATTACAGCTTATAACAATAATCCCAGAGCTACTCTTGTTCAACCAGCTTAACCTGGAATACCTCCCTGGTTCCCTTGACTGTCAACCAGAATGGATCTGGAGACATTGCGTTCAACAAGAAGGGATCTCGTGTTCTTGATAATCCTGGAGTCTCGGGAGGTGTTATTGATAGCTGTATCTATAACAACGTGGAAACTGTTGTGGACTGTGGGCTAGCAGTTCAACCTACGATTTGATGGGGCATCCACTAACAGCGGATTTCCAATTGATATCTAGTCGTTCTTGTACCACGTTCTCCTTCAACTTACAACGGAAACTTTTTGCTGTATAACGAAGATGAAAGTCTGGCCGTGGTGGCTGCCGCCGGTCAGGAAAACGAGTCCAATGCTTAGCATGACTCTCATGACATCAGAAGGAGTGCATGTGGCTCTGTTTTCATACGCACAGTTATCAAGTCGTTGACGTGTATAAACGGCGTTGCGATGCAACCTGAGGATTCAAACGAGAACCAAGTTGCCACGTTCAACGCATACACCAGGTTTGGTTTACCCGATACATGGCGGCTGCCATTGCGTTGACGGGCCTTTCCCAGGAGGAGAACAATCGGGTTCTTCAAGACTTAGTGTGTCGTATGGATAAGTACATGAGTTTTACAAGCAGATCTGTGTTGAGGACAAAGGAGTTCCCCAAAAGGGACGAGAATGGCATGAGGAAATTGGATGATAGCTTCGCGGACCAGGTTGAAAAGGGCGTTGAAGGTAAGCTTGCCTCCCTGGCCTCAGAATAGTTGTATTCGTTCACCAAAAAGGTTTTGGGAACTGACTTCTGTGCTTTGATTCCACTATACCAAGCCTCGAAGGCTTCGACTTTAATAGTCCTATAATTATTGTATATAATCATCCTTCTCCATTTTCTGCCCCGCCGCTAGTGCCTACAAAATTAACGTTATCTCCTGTCCTCGCCTTCGCCTGGAGCGCAAGCTTACGCTTTTAGCCCCCCAGATCATCATCCTTTCTTACCCCAGAGTTCATGGTATTCCGTTTACGGAAAGAATACCTCCTCAGGGCAGAAAGGCCAAGCCGATGTCGATGACCCCTATTCGCCAGCTGTGACGAGCCCCTTCATTGTTGGATGGCCCTTCACTAACACTAGTCGCAACCACAGACCCGCCCCGCCGCCCCCTCTTGACTACGGTATATGGAGCACGGCCGCTCGGGCCGGTTAACCGTCGAGTTCTATGCCGAAGACTAGCAAGAATCGAGAGGGGGGTCACAAGAAGGGCATGAGGGGCGATAAGAGACACGGTTCCGTCATTAGTTCCAATGGCGGGTTCAATATGGTCTACGCGGGGGCTTCATTTGACATCTGATCGGGAAAATATAATATGCCTGTAGACATGGACTTATGTGTGTGCCTGTGAGACCGTACGACACAATGGTAAATACAGGTAACACCAATAAGTATCCAGGTGTTTGGTCTTTTTTTTTATATATCTTGAACTGTTTTGCATACTCCGAATCGCTCTTTCGGTATTGTACGTGAATTTCCATATGGCACAGCTTGATCCCTTGTTGAGGGCGTGCTTCATATAACCAGGCCCGACATCGACCGCCCGCCCTCGCAGGGGCATTTCATTGCTTGATAAGCCGCTTTCATATGTCGTGTTCAAGGGGCTTCATCCTCTGTACCCAGATATGCGAAACTGGAAGAAAAGACATCGGCCGAGTCAGGCTTACGGTCTCACTGTCTTTCCAACAAGAGTCGCTAGCAAGTTAGTTCAGATATGCGTGGTCCAGCAACGATGAACCCCGGCGGGTGACAATCCGTCCGAAACCTTGGTTGAGGTCCCGTCGCTGTGCCACAGAAACCGCGGTGGCCGGGCCTGTCGACCGGTTCTTGAATCAGTCTGCCCAATTCCCTCAGCGATCCCCTCCGGACACCGAGCTCTGAGCATTCGTGCGTGGGAAAACGAGGGTTCCCGGACCCGCGGGTTCATCAATCGGCTGCTTTCGGGGCCAGCGACGCTCCACCAACACGTGGCAGCCCGAACCCCGACGGCCCGCTTCAGGGCTTTGCGGCCGGCGTAGATCCCCTGTGGTGGCGGTGGTGGGAGGGACGCCATCGCTTTCGTCCTTACGAGGGATGGCCAGGGTATGTGGGTTCGGGGACTCGAATGGACAGTCTTCTAGGTCAATCAGCAAAGGCGCGGCGGTCGTTGTATGTAACTATATAAAACGATGGAGTCGAACAAGACAACAAATTTCGCAACATGAACAGATTCCCGTCGTCAAGTGTGTCGGCATCGTAGCGATCCCCCCCCCTCCGATCTTCCAGGTACCGAGGCGGCCAGACTTGTGGCCGTAGCTTGCTGCATCGAGCATATTTCCCAAAAGTCAACAGCAGACGATGCGTTATGCCATCTACCATCAGCTGCTTGACTTCCTAGAAACGGTCGGGTCTTCTTTAATCTCCCAGTTGGGCCGGCCATTGGTGCGAAGGGAGACTTTCACATGCGTCGCTCTCGACAGCCCACCCCTGTATACGAATACATGACTTACCCACGTCGCATGCTTCCCCCACCGATCCGTCAACGGCAACGCAAGCCAAGCGAATCAGACTGATCGAGCAGGGTCCCAAGGGAGCCAGGGAGTGATCCAAGACCTGGGCTCGGCTCTTGGGAGGGTCACTCATGGCAGTCCTGGGACTTGGGGAAACGGGTAAGTTAGGACAGAATCGGGGCGCGAGGGGCCAGTCGGAGACGATGATCCTCGGGCTGCCGGCTCCACCCCGGGAAGTCCTCTAGCTCTCATTAGGCAGTTCTCACGGTAAAGACGGGGTTCCATAAAAGTCAGGCCACCTTGGACGGCCGGTCTCCATCCATTCTCGAATCGTCTCTCTCCTTTTTCCGGGGGCACCGTTTTTTTATTGTTATTATTTTAGCCCACGACTAGACATGCCGGGCTGTGTGTGTGGCCTTGTGACATTTTGCTACTCACATTGTAGGTAGAGCCGAGAGTTGACTGGTGGCCATGTTGGTTCAGCTTCCATGCAAGAGACACGAGGATGAGCGGGTGCGTGCCCCCCCCCCTCACCTCATAATCCGCTTGCGGAGCACATGATGGCTGGCTGTGCAGGTAGAGAGAGGAAACACGCAACTCGGTGATGCTCATTTGTGACAGACCGCTGCCCAAACTCTACTTGGAACCAACCCGTCCACGCCCGAGGGTGAGCGTGTCTCTCGGAGAATGTGCCCACTCTGCCGCCGAGCCGTTGTCGGTGGAGGTAAGGTAATCCGCCCTGGGCGAGGTTCCCAAAAGGGTCATTCAGGTATAATCCCCGGGTTCCTCCTGTGTTGATTATTTCTACCCGTGTTGGTCCCGGCTTGTCCATCACTTCTTTTCCCTCTTTTCCCTTCCACAACATGCTTTCCTTTTCGGCTTTTTGTTTCTCGCCGTCCCGACACACGTCTCTTTTCCTTCTCTTTTTTGTGACAGACTAGGCCGAATAGACTTTGAGCGCTCGTAGTCGCAGCAACTCACCGGTCCAAGGTAAGCCGCCGTAGACCTTAACCCCCCTCCCCTCGGGTTCTCATTCGGGCCAAGATATCCCTGCCGCGTCCGCGCACTCGCTGACCGGGCCAGCGCGCCTCCAGATAAGATCCCTTTACATGCCAAAGTAGAACGATCACCGAGGCGAGAAGAACTTGGAAACAAAAAAAAAAAAAAAAAAAAAAAAAGTTCGTAATCAGAAATCTATAACGAGCTCAAAGACCAATACCCGGGATCAACAGCAAACAACCGACGCAATGGTCCTCATCACGCGCGCCATCTCCATCACCAACTTCGTCGTCGCCTCCTCCGCCCTCGGCTTCCAGGTTTTCGTCCTGTACCCCTGGCACGAGCAGCTCTCCCACGACTTTGATGAGCTCAAGAAGGAGCACCTCCGCGTCCTCGACTACGTCAAGGGTGTCGACGCCGGTCTGAGGAAGGGACAGGGCGGCGCGCCCAAGGGAGAGTCGCTCTTGGAGCGTCTCGGCTACAAATCATAGATCCGTTGCCGCCCTCGGTGGCCTGTTGTTAATTGGGATCTCCCTCTTTTTGGGTGGAGGGGGGACTCGAACTTGCTCAGGATCGGTCTGTCTTGTCCACCCCCGTCCTTCATTTTTGGTCCGACATTCGTGAGATGAGAGAATAAAAGAGCTTAATATACCCCATAATGTGCCGCAGCATCGCCTCCATGTCGCATGCTTGTGCTCGGTCCCTCAGCTCCTGACGTGTTACCCACCATAAGGCCCGTCGCAGAGCTCATCCATTCTCGAGCCATGCCGCCCTCGAGATGATCCGTGTAGAGCCTGAGGTCGGCGGCGTGGCCTACGACGGAGAGTAGCTGGTAGACGAAGCAATTCAAGACGTTGATGGGGGGGACTCCATATGACCATCTGTGATCGCTGGCCACAACTTGGTTCTCGACAGTCATAGCCTGCCTCTGACACTGAGCCAACGAAACGCGGGTGCATGCAATATTACGTAGAGAGAGAGAGAGAGGGAGAGAGAGAGAGAGAGACAGAGAGAGAGAGAGAGAGAAAGAGAGAGTAACCCGCTTCACCCCTGCCAGATTACAGGCCCGGAGTCGGATCCGGACCGGACGCAGCGATATCGGCCGTCTTTCTCAACATTCATCACTGCATCCCGGATGAAGGCATCTGGCTTGGCTCATTTTTATCTCATTGAAAAATAGCACATCGCATCCTCGGTTCCTTCGCCGAGGTCACTGGCATCAGCCGTATAGGGTATCGCGAATTCCAAGTGCCCAATCGCTCGCCACTCGTCGTATCAAGCCGCCTCGCTCTTAGTCACGCCATTCCGTCCCCTTTTTTAACTTTTACAAAAGCCATTTGTTTCGCCTTCTAGCGTGCATCAGATTCGGCTTAATCCACCCCCCCCCGGCGATTCCGATGCCACTTTTTGATGCCTGTACCGAGAACCCCTCGGTTTCGTACGGCTGCACTCATCATAAGGTCGTCGTCGTGAGAATAGTCCCGCTCAGAGGTAGCTCTCCTGGCAGGCGGGCCAGGTGCCGATCCAGGCGACGAGGAAGATGAGCAGCCACATGATGAGCCAAGTGGCCTGGCCGCCGGAGGTGCCGAGGCCGACGAAGCTTCCGACAAGGAGCGCGGTGTGGATGAAGGCAGCCGCCAGCAGGAAGAGGTCAAAGTGCAGTCGTCCCTGGAAAGTGAGGACACAGTCAGCGTGAAACTCTGAATTTCATGCTCAGTCCCCCCGTCCTCGTTAGAGTTCACTCACCACCATGACTCCGAGAACCTTGCGGCGGCCCTCGGCCTGGCCGATCACGGCGAGGCACCAAGCGATGAAGAGGAATCCGATGGCGCCGAGGATGACACCCAGGACGGCGCCGAGGACCCGGCCGTGGGCGATGTCGCCGACGACGCCTATGACGGACATGGCGGTGCGGGCGCCGAGGGTGATGTACATGCACACGCGGCGGAAGAGGACGGCCTTGTCGGCGGTGTTGAGGCTGTAGGCCTCCCACGAGAAGGACCAGCAGCCGCGCATGTTGGGACACGCGCGGTCCTTGAGGCTGCCGCCCCGGGACTGTTCGCCGGCGGCGGCAGCAGCGGCGGTGGCGGCGCCCTGTTGACCGCCGTGATTCATGGCCTGGTATCCGAGGGCGGCGCGGTGACTTCCGAGAATGGGCGCGGTGCTGTCGTCGTCGCTGTCGGAAGAAGAGAAGGCGGAGGAGAAGGAACCCGTGTCATTGGCTCGAGAGAGGCTGCTGGTCGCGCCGAAGTTGAGCAGGCCGCGGTCGGTGCCTGGGACGGGGGGCATCATGAGCTGCGAGGGAGGAGGCGCCATGATGGGGGTTCCTCTTTATATTGCCGGGCTCGTCCGACAAGCGAGATGGAACTCTTGGTGTTTGTTCCTTTCGTGGGGTCTTGCGGTAAAGGGGGGGGGCGGGGGCGGAGGATTGTGGACCTGGTTGTTGGTGGGAAGGGGATCGTGGGTTTCACGAAACGACAGGGGAGGCTTGCCGGTCTCACCCACGAAGATGGTAAGAGTTTTGCAGATGTTTTCGATTTCGATTTTTATTCTTGTATTTCGTGTGGTTCTCGTCTTCATCTGGTTGGAGTAGGTAGCCCTGGTCGTCTGCTTAAAGGGGCGGGCGCAGCAGCTTGACTTGACCAGCTGCTCCCGCTGTTCTGGATAACTTGGCAATGTCCTCACGACTGAGCTGTGTGGTGGGTTGGGAGTCTTGACCCTTGTTGTTGTGTAGTCCGAATAGTGACGATACGTGTTGAGATTGACCGGGCATCAAAGGACCTTCTTGCAGGGGCCAAGAACCAGTGGGTGTCAACTGTGAAGTGATTTATAAATGTTCACAAAGACTGTTGTGGGATACCAGGACGATCACAGAACGAGACAAAGATCCGCCACTCTATCTTGATATCTGTCAGGGCTTTGATATACTCTGTTTGTTCCTCTGTCGGTGTCCAACCTCTGGTATGAATCTCTTCATTGCCAATTCCGGCAGCAATACAGACCCTTGGGGTGCTTTGATTTCAGGAGGGTGACAGACCCGCCTTGCCCGGTTGATACCGATCAGCCCTGTCCAGTGTGTGTGGAGATGCTCGTAGACCTACACCCGGGTCGTCGGATGCTATGGCGTCTTGGCGTCTTGGTAAGTAATTAAGCTGTTCAATTGAGACATGTGCACAAGGTCATGATATATAGGCCGCATGCTACATATCCATATAACGTATAAAGGTCCGGGCAGCCGAGTTGCAGGGACGGGGACTACTCCATATGACCCCTAGGGCCATGACATATAACATCAGGGGAGAAAAAGAAGAAGAAGAAATGAGAAGGTGGCGAAGCTACGAATGCTATGATACAAAGGGATGTCCGTTCCCTTAGGAGCCGTCAATCCTCCAAACGAGGTCAAGTCCTCAACTCCTCAAACCACGATGGCACTGGTACTCAGGTCCAAAGCTTCTGTCTCAGATCCTCCGAGATTGCTTGCTTGTTGCTCGTCGATTCAACAACCACAATGGCCCCCGTTCCCCGCTCGAAGACTGCCGCGCAGTGCCGGCCCTCGTTCTTCCGGACCGCGGTCCGGAGCTCGCCGAGCACGGTCACCAGCTTCCGCAACGTCTCCTGGTTCGTGGCCTCCCATCCGGCGAACTGGGCCGCCGCGTCTGTGATCTTCCTGCTGCCGAACTTGCCCTCCGCGTGCCGACCGACGATGAGCCAGGGCGTCCTGCCAAACCAGAGCTGCGGCATGAACTGGCCGATGGTCTTGTTCTGGGTCGCCGACTTGATTTCAGCGGCGGTCGACTGGTCCATCACCCGCGCCCCGACGTAGACCGTCTCGATCTGCACGTCCCGCGGCGGTGGGCTCTTGGTCTCGCCTCGCTGGGCACACTGGACCGACAGCTTCTCCATGCGCGGTAGCAAAGCATCCAAGGGGGCGGGCTTTCCGCTGTCTGGGTCGTAGCTGGCATCCACCTCGAACTGCACCGCGCAGCTCAAGGCTCCGAGGGAGTATCGTAGGGTACGGTGGTGGCCCAAACTTTTCTCCAGGCCGGCGGGGAACTTGGCTGAGGCCTCTTCAAAGTTCCTGCCCCAGCCGGTGCTCGGCGACCCGTTGATGATTACGCTGGTGAGCTTCTCGCAGCGCTCGACGATCAGGGTGTTGCGCACCAAGTGCAGGTTGAGCCGGAAGTCCTCCCGGGACCGGCCGAGGCAAAAGTTGAACAGCTTCCGAAGGCTGTTACGGTTCGTGACGATGTCGATTTCATTGAAGGACGCGTCTGGGTTCATGAAAGCCGCTGCTCGGAACATGGCCTCGAATGGGTGCTGGGGTAGCAGGTTGGTGTTCTGGTCGATGAAGTAAGTTCCCTTGTCGGGCGGGAGGGTCAACGGTAGGCTCAAATCCTGCCAGATGGCCGCGAACCCTGTTCATGGTCAGTTTCGACCAGCAAGGCTAGAGGGCGAAGCGGCATACCGGGGACTCGAATCGTGAGCCGTCTTCCTCCTTGCCAGTTATAGCTGCACACGAGCTGGCAGCCGGCCTCGCTGCTGACTGCGGTCGTCGAAGGCACGATGGCCGACTGGACGATGGTATACACAGGCTTCACTGGCTTTCGGATCTGCTTCCACAGCCAAGCTCGATTTGATGCGTTGGCAGGCGAAGATCGTCCAGTAGTCTTAACAGCCTGGACGACGTTACCTGATGTCTCGGTGATCGACAGCGAAGTGTTTGTGCTGGAGGGCGCGCAGCAGGAGGCGCGTCCGTTGTGGGCTCGATTCTTGTCAGTTTGATGCTGCGCCAGCGCTGCATCCGACTTGAAGCGGCGACCGCAAGGGCAGGGAATCATCGTGGCGTGGGGTTTTTCAACAGTGTAAAAACGATGGTTATTGACATGAAGGCAGTTTTGGTGACTAGTATCAGTTTGAGTTGATGGATAGTGATGTGTTGATGAGTAGAAGAGATTTCCAAGGCCTTGAAAAGGTAAACAAACAACAAGTGAGAACTGAAAGGAAGGAACGTTCTTCTTTCAGGATCAGCCCGTCTCTAGATGTCGGCCAGCTTGAAGACAGCCAACCGTTGGCTTATTGTTGTTAAGACGGCCAACGATTGGTGCCAACAATAACTGCAGAGCGGGGTGACATGAGGAGATTCTCTCCCACCATTTATTGGTCTTGCATCGAATATGGTTGGTCGAGAAGATCCAAGCCTATCCAACCAGTGAGAATATGAATTGTGACCGGGATAGCTGCTATGTCTTGCACCAACAAGGACTGGTCCGGACTGTTTGTGAAGCCAAAAGGGCAGGTTTTGATTGACGCTCGAATCACAAAACTACTATAGACAATACTGGCACACGAGATGACTATGTAATAGCCGGCCAAGAAAGAACACACACTGCCATCAAATCGTATTATACCAAGTCCCTCTTTCCTCACCAAAACGCCGTGTGCGTCAATCCTATACTTCTATGCCGAAGCCGTCTTTTCGATCTCACTGACGCCGACTTCAGACCCCTTCTCGGAGAGCCTGTCGTTCTGGTGTGTCCTATGGGTCAGCCCGGCAACCTCGGTCTTGCTGAACTTCCTCGCCGGGATGCCTTGCTCGAACAGCACCTCGAGCTCGCCGTAGGTGCGGCCTCTGGGCTCCGGCAGGCGGAACCAGGTCCAGACGAAGCAGATGGCGCAGCTGACGGCCCAGAACAGGCCGCTCTTGGCGCCCCAGTTCCACGCCGAGGGGTTGAGCATCAGGGGCGTCAGGATGTTGGTCGTGATGCCGGTGATGTTGTACAGGTTGCGCGCCAGCACCACCGTCTTGGTCCTGAGCCGCGTCGAGCTGAGCTCGGACACGAGGGAGTAGCAGACGGGGCCGACAGTGCAGTCGTAGAAGAAGGTGTAGACGAGGAGCAGGCTGCCAATGGCCCACTGCGCCGCCACGTTCTCCCTGCCGGCGAAGGAGACGAGGCCGATGGTGGCGAGCACAACGCACATGATGGCCTGTCCCGTGAGGTACAGCGTCCGGCGGCCAAAGTGCTGCATCAGGAACCACGAGAAGACGGTGCCGATGGCGCCGATGGCGTACTGGCCCAGAGACATGCTGAACGAGTTGGCCTTGTCCATGCCGGCCTGCTGGTAGAAATACGTCGAGTACCCCATGAAGGTCGAGCCGCAGAGCGTCTGGATCGCCCAGACGCAGCAGACAATCTCGGTGCGGCGAAGGTCGATGCCCCGGAAGCAGTCCGTGTACTTCATGCCGCTCTGCGCCGCCTTCTCGAGCGCGTTGGTGTGGACCATCATCGAGACTGTCTCGTCCGCGTTGAAGTCGGGCTGCGCGTTGCGGCTGGTGAGGCGGAGCAGGGACGCCTTGGCCTCTTCGAGGCGCTCCTTGCGGACGAGCCACCAGGGGGACTCGGGGGCCACCAAGATGCCGATGATGAGCGGGACGGGCCACATCCACTGCAGCGCAAAGGGGATCTTGAAGCCCCATTCGTCGGTGCGCTGGATCATGGCGCGGAGGACGCCGCTGGCGATCAGCTGGCCCATGACCCAGCAGAGGTTCACGTAGGTCGTCTGCGGCGCGGGTTTACTTCGTCAGCCAGCGTACACCAACAGGTTGTTTGACTCCGAGGCGGCGGCGGTGGGTGGATGTATCTTACCAGGTACGCGCGTAGATGCGTCGGGCAGACCTCGGAGGCGTAGGTCACGGTCAAGGTCTGGAATATCCCCCACGGGATCCCTATCAGGATTTCGCCCACCAGAAGCTGGACGAGCGTCTCCGAGAAGAAGATGATGAAGATGAAGGCGGTGACGGCAATGAGGCCGCCGACCATGGTCTTGCGGTAACCGAAGCGGTCGGCGATGAGGCCGTTGAGGAAGAGGCCGGTGATCTCGCCGACGAGGGCGCCGTTGCTGAGGCCGGCCTGCCAGGCGGCCGTCAGCTCGTAGGAGCCGTTGGGCTGGCGCTCGCCGAACTTGCGCTGGAAGACATCGTAGGCGAAGAGGTTGCCAATGAGGGTCTTGTCGAAGCCCTCCATGACGACGGCGGTGCTGAAGAAGAGCGACCAGAAGATGGCCTTGGGGTACAACCGGATGGACTGCATGAGGCCCATGCCGAGCTCAGCCTCGGTCGCCTTGGCGGCCTCGGAGGCGACCTCGGCGGCGCTGGAGTCGCCGCCGGACAGGTTACGGGTCACCACGGGGTCGGTGGTGACGGCCATCGCCGGCGCCGCCTTGGGCGTGGACGAGCCGAAGAGCACCATGGCTGCGGGTCGATGTTGGGTTTGTCCGGAGGACGGGATGATATCGGGATGGAATGGTGGGGTTGATGGGACGAGTGTCGCGAAAGAGACGGACCCGAGCTCGGCCTTGGAACGGTTCAAGCTGGTAGAATGGGGATGCTGCAAAGGAAGTGGCGATGCGCTCGACCCTTGTCCAAGGTCGAAGAGCACGATCCGGTAAGTCTGCTCAAGTTACTGCAAGCGATGCTGCTACTTCTGCTGAGATGAAGTCAAGTCGATACGGGATACCCAGTCATCTTATATCCTCCTCCCGTTTGTGTCTCAACCGACTTGATGCCTCGCGCCAAGCGATGATGTTGATGCTCCCTTCACGAGGACCAAGGTAGTCAGCCGTCAGAGCAAAAAAAGCGGCCTCTCACTGGCTCGCTGAAATCCAATCCAGTAGTGTCGGAACGAGGGTGTAAGATGTTGACCTCATGGACCACACTCGTGGGTTTCAGTCGCTCGAATTCAAGAAAAGGATGCAAGAATCCCCCAAAGGAGTCAAGTCGAAAAAGAAAACACCGCCCTAGCCCGCTCTCAGTCGTCCGGACCCAAGGACACGCTGTGCTCCACCTTCTTCTCCACGACCCATCAGCTCGCTGCGGGGAAGCCTGCGTCGAAGAATGGATTGTCTGGGGTCGATGTCGCAGTGTGGGAGGACGTAGGTATGTGTTGGTGTGTAATGGTACTTGGGATGAGATGATACCGAGGCGGGTGAGGTGTCTCTTACAGTGTACGGATACTACCTGTCATATGGGAGGGGGCAAATATCGGGCAAATATCAGGCCATCGGGAAAAGGGGCGAGGAAGAAGAAGAAACCGGCATCCCATAACAACTCACCCAGTCTCAGCACAAGCATTCGCTTCCTTAGGCGAGGAGCCCCCCCGGAAGAGATGCCCAAATGAAAAACTTAAACATTGAGATCAACACCAACGAAGCCTAGCTGTATACCGGAGTCCCCGCGGGTATCCCTGCGCCATGTGGCGTAGAAGCAGACCGGAACCAAGACAAACATGCGCACTGAAAGGGGCTTTACCCTGGTCGATACACCTCCCGGGAAGTGCCTTGCGAAGCTGCCCAGGCCCCCGGATCCATGGCGGTCGAATCACAGCGAAGAGAATTCTCGGCGATTCCACCATCGCTGGTTGCAGCGAAGGTTTCCGCGAGAGTTCCCAGCCATGGTTGGGCCAATGGGGGTTTGGGATTTTGCCCCCCCCCCCATATGTAGCTAAACTAAACTAGCTCGTTCAGTAGAAACCTGGGGGGGACGACTGTCACTCGTGAATGTGGGTGTTCTGGGGTTGGCGTTGATCGCTCTGTTCTCTGCTTGTCTCCTCTCCCCTCTCCCCGCAGTTGGGAGCTGGAATGACATACCAGACGGCTGCCTTTTCTTAGCATCTGCCAGAACCAGCCTAGCCTAGGGAGAGACTCGTGACATCTGGAGAACGGTGCGGAACTCGACGCCGTGATCGATGACGCTAGAATTACAGCGATTGGTCCCCATCCTCGGACAGCGTTGGGAAGTTCGCCGGTCCACGAGCGAGGTTTGGCGAGCGAGCTGAGCTGACTGACGGGTAGAAGCCTAAGATATGGTCCAGGACCAAGTTCCAGATGGGTGAGTCCCAGAGCACCAGGCCGATCACGCGCAGCCCGATGATGCTAGGCGAGCGTGAAGTAGACAGCAACGCCTAGGTTGCGATAGTATTACTAGGAACTTCGCAGAGCATCCCTATAGATAGAGACTCACAGGTCGTTCAAACTGAGTATATTAATCTCTCAAAGGAAGCCTCTGTCTGATAACAAGCTCGTGGGGGCGTGGGGGATGTGACGAGAGCCGGCTGCGACCCTCACCCCCGAAAAGACCACCCCTTTTCCCATTGCCATGTTTTCGTCACTGCTTCTCGCCGACCTGGATCTTCCCCGCAACCTCTATTCTCATTCTCCTAGATACGGGACCTAGCTACCCAGCCACCACCCACCCTACTGCGGAACCTAAACCGACTTTTCTCTCCGTCTGCTGCCGTCTCCTTCGGGGCTGTCCATGTGACTACGAAAACCTGGGCGGATACTAATAAGTGTTATTTCTGTGACGCCATGTGCCACCAGCCTGTTTCTCCTTTACAGCCGCGATAGTGCACTTCTATCAGCCGCTCAGATCGAGTGGCTTGCGGAACGGGAGATGCAGCAACGGATCATATGTGTCGAAGCCAGCGAAGTCGCGGGGTCAAGGTAGGAACGGACTGGACCCACGCTGCCGACATCCAGCTGCCGGTTCTCGAGTTGCCTTCCGCCATCTACAGCCGCCCTCCGGTAGAGCACCGGAGCCGCCACTTCGAATCGGTTTGCAGCCCATTGCCCGACGTCAAGGGCAGGAAGCGGTAGTATCAACCAAAGCCTCTTCTTGTGATGCTTTCATTCTAGAACCCTTCTCACCTGAAAGTGATGTGCAGGTCCTTCTGATCTACCGCATGATGATGGCTACAGATACATGGATCATTGTGCCACACTTCAGGACAGATGCCGACAATGAAAAGGACCGCGAGGCAACGGCTTTCAAATTGAAGCAACGTCATTGCCCCCTTCAATGTCAAGACAGTATGTTCTGTAGAATATGGATTCAATTAATAACGGTCTATCTCTGCACAGTAATAACAACCAAGCCAGCTTCTTGATGGCATTTCTTTCCCTTTTTCTCTACTTTTTCCTATCTTTCAGTTCCTCTACTTACACTGCTCGCTGTCTAGGGAATAGATAAAGACCAGTATGGAATTGAAAAATCTTTAATGTTTCGCCTCGGATATATATACAAGAAAGCAGCCATGCCGGCTTCGCCTACCATTCTACGCCAGACAAATATTTCACGGGCACAGCCTTTACTATCTCAAACTGTTCGTATTCGTGTTCACCCTCACCTGGCTACGGAAACGGCGATGAAGCCGACGCTTTTCCCTATCGGTGCGAAAACTGGGTCTCGGCTTATTTCTTGGAAGAACCAATAAGTGGCAGAACCACAATAGTCTGATACAACACACTTTACCAATAACCAACAGGAACTGAGACCCAGGAGAAATCTACGGGGTCTTTCCAGACGCTATTGTGTGCGTTAGCCGGACCAGATCTGTGGAAGCGAGCGGGTAGATGGTGACGGGTCATCTCGCAGCAGCCGGTGATAAGCCCCCATTCAGCGGTGTTAACAAATGAAAAAGCAGCTCATCGGTTCAGGGCGCCCACAAGCTTACAGGGGGGTGAGCGCATTCGTATTCGGATCTATCGATAATCAAAGGCCTTATCACGTATTCGTTTTGGTGCTCTGTGAACTCTAGAGTAGAAGGACAATGGGCTTGGCTGTAAGTCGGAGGATGTTGATCTCGAAAGTTGCTATAAGAAGGGTAGTTCGTGATGGGTGATGGAGGGAAACCAGTCCAACAATAATACTGTGTTTGACTCACTTCTCTCTGTTGTCCTTTCCATCGCGAGCGCTCCATCCAGTGCCACAAGTTCCTTTAACATTTCCATTGCATTCGAACTTCGAACACTACCAAGTCTGTCCGCCACGATGGTTGCAACGGTTCCCGAGGAGGGGCAGATGCTCTTGGCCCGAGACGCCACGTTCGAGAAGATCCTCCACAAGGACACAACGAAGACTGTTGGCATGTCGGCGATGCTGAAAAAGGATCACGAGGCACAAAAGGCGGCCACAGACGAGTACTTCAGGCATTGGGACAACAAGAGCGCACAGAAGGAGACGAAGGAAGACCGAGAGGTAAGTGGAAAGCGTCTCTGGAGTGCAGTCATGTTACTTTGTTGAATACTGAACCCCTCCGTCGTTACAGGCTCGGACAGCAGACTATGCTTCCCTCACCAGGCAGTAAGTAATATCTAGAATGCTTCCTAAAATGGGCGTGTCAAAACTAAGCATACGAGAAACAGATACTACAACCTCGCGACCGACTTTTACGAATATGGCTTCGGCCAAAGTTTCCACTTCTGTCGTTCAGCGGCCGGCGAGTGTTTCAAGCAGGGCATCGCGAGACACGAACACTACCTGGCCCATGTGATCGATATCAAGAAGGATATGAAGGTGTTGGACGTTGGGTGCGGTGTTGGCGGGCCTGCTCGCGAGATCGCCAGCTTCACTGGTGCCTATGTCACTGGTATCACCATCAACGAGTACCAGGTGGAGCGGGCGACACGATATGCCGTCAAGGCGAAGATGGACAAGCAGGTCCAGTTTGTACAGGCCGACTTCATGGTACGTTTTGTGCACGCCATATAGTCCATGTTTGACGGGCCCCTCGCTAATAGCAGACATGTATTACCAGAACATACCCTTTGAGGACGACACCTTCGACGCCATCTACGCCATAGAGGCCACCGTCCACGCCCCATCCCTTGAAGCCGTTTACTCCGAGATCTTCCGCGTCCTCAAGCCCGGCGGCGTCTTCGGCGTCTACGAATGGGTCATGACGGACAAGTACGACGACGGCGACCTCCACATGCGCAAGATCCGCATCGACATCGAGCAGGGCGACGGGATAGCCAACATGGTCAAGGCCGCGGAGGCGCTGCGCGCGTTCGGCGCCGCCGGCTTCGACATGATCCGGCACGAGGACATGGCCGAGCGTCCGGACCCGAGCCCCTGGTACTGGCCTCTCGACGCCGGAAGCTGGAGACACGCGCAGACGCTGGGCGATCTGATGTACACGTTCCGTATGACTGGTCTCGGACGCTTAGCGACGCGCGGGTTTCTCAGTGTCATGGAGACGCTGGGGGTCGCGCCGCCCGGCATGACCAAGATGTCGGATAGCTTGTGTATTGCCGCCGATGCATTGGTTCAGGGCGGTAAAGAGAAGATCTTTACGCCAATGTACCTTATGGTCGGACGAAAGCCGGCAAAGAAGGAATGAGAATGGCCGTAAATGGATAGTTCTACACGGCATTCAGAAGGCATTGTCGTCGCCAAGGCATAGAAAGAAAGATATTCCAACAGCAAACCAGCAAATCTTCCAGTTGACGCAAAAAGATGGACGATCAGGGAATCGAACCCTGGACCTACCGCATGCTAAGCGGTCATTATACCACTAAACCAATCGCCCACGAGGATGATCTAGCCCGGACTTGAACCGGAGACCTTCAGTGTGCTCAGGTCGAGTCGCCTCGAACTGTTAGACTGACGTGATAACCAACTACACCACCAGACCATTTGTATTGTTGAAGAGCAGGCTGGAGAATGTAAAATATGAATCGAGTGTCTCATGGACTGGTGGGAAGAACGAGTCGTGTAGCGAGGGGGCGGAGCCCTCCCTGGTGGGCCGGGCCTATTCGGGATGGCGGCGGCGGTCTGGCCCGGTCAAGTGGGCCGGAGTAATGCCCCAGTGGTGGCAGACGGGCTTGGCCGATTAGGCTGAGTTGAAATGGCCACAGCTCGAAATGTCTTTCGATGCGGGTGTCGAGGACTTTATTCGAACTGCCTTCTTGAACAAAGCATCTGTTGGATCTTACAGCGTTCGGGATCTGTTCGGCGCAGAGGTGCGAGTCTCACCCGTGGGACTTGCACTAGGAAGAGGAACTGGCAAAGCAAAAATAGCGCGTGCTCATCAGTCCTAGTCAGCCAGAGTGATACATGGCAACACTGCATTTCATTTAGCTAATGCTTTTCTGCTTCATTGTTGATAGGATAGGGTCCCTTGGCCATAAATCATCATTCATGGATCAGGAATCTCAGGCGCCTGTGACCGGCATTGAGCCTACAATCCATGTTCGAAGGAGTGCCGGGGATATGCAGAAACCCCATGAGCTTATTTGCAGCAGCCAACCACCCATAGACCATCTCCGCCTCCCTTTGTCAGCCAAGTGTGCTCTCCACGCAGCGTCACTCCATTTTCAGAACTAGAATGCTCGTCCGCATCTTGAAAAGCCCTCTCACAAGTAGCCAGATATCCTGCAACTGAACCAGCCGCCCACGCGGATCGTCCTCCATCCTTGCCGCTCCACGTTTACGCCAAGAACCGACTAGCGACGGGACGCGCTGCGTTCAGTGGTGGAAACCTGCCGGTCCGGATCGCAGGAGGCCACGGAGGACCGTAATAGGCAAGGGAGCAGATATCACTTTCTGGTCAGGTGTGGGGGACGCGGCCAAGAGACGCAGCTTGCTGATGGAACACATCTGGGCCCAGGACCCCGAACCCGGCAATCCGGATGGCCATCATTGGCGATGACCTCTGCAAATCATGCAGAGTTCTCCGCATGAGGCCATTGAAATCGATTGTGACGTGGACAATCACATGGCCAAAGGTTCTATCCCGGAGGTCGGGGGTCGGTTTGAGCAGGGCCGAATTGCAAGCCTCTCGGGCGGCCGTCTGTCGCATCATTGCATTTGAATTGTATAAGTAATAGTTCCATGCCGTTCCCGAAAGAGAATGGCCTCGTCTTTTCGACCACCCCGATTCACGTCTTCTTCCGTGCTCCCCCTCCCCGGCTTCTTCCTAGGCATTCTTCATTATGAGAATTAGCGCTGCCGCCCTTTTCTGCGCCTTTGCGAGTCCGGCCATGGCCAATCCTCTCGACTGGCTCGGAATCGCCTCCTGGGACGTGGAGGGTTTTGCCAAAGACAACCCAATCGGCAAGACAACCGGGGGCAAGGGTGGTCCGACAGTGACTGTCACGAGCGTCCCAGAGCTCCAGTCCGCCGTCGTCGGCAGCGACCCGAAGATCATCGTCCTCAAGGGCGAGTTCGCTTTGCCAGCACGTCTCAGCATTGGCTCCAACAAGAGCCTCGTCGGCTACAAAGACCAGGCGCACATCACCGGCAAGGGCCTCAACGTCTATAACGCGACCAACGTGATCCTGCAGAACCTCAAGATCAGCTACATTTTGGACAATGACTGCATCACCATCCGCAACTCTACCAGGGTCTGGGTTGACCACAACGAGTTCGCGTCGGACATATCGCGAGGTCCCGATCTCTACGTATGCTGTCTCCCAGAAGGCCAGTTTCGGGGACCGATAATTAACTGACTCTGAATAGGATGGCCAGGTCGACATCATCCGTGCTTCAGACTGGATCACTGTGTCCTGGAACTACTTCCACGACCACTGGAAGTCATCCCTCGTGGGAAACGACGCCACATTCCGCGACCTCGACTTCGGCCACCTTCACGTCAGCTACCACCACAACTACTGGAAGAACATGGGCACTCGCGGCCCCGCCGGTCGTTTTGGCACGCAACACATCTACAACAACCTGTACGAGGACTTCCTCTACCAGGCCATCCACTCCCGCTCCGACAACCAGGTTCTTGTCGAGGGCAACGTGTTCCGGGGGAAGACGCATGAGGCGCTCAGCACGTATGGCCTCGTCATTCCGGACGATTCCCCAAATACCTGCGTCTGCGGTGACGAGGAACTGGACGGGTTCGCCAATCTCGGTTCTCGTAAGTCAAGTCCCGCATCGGCCAGCCGCTAAACTAATGAAACGATAGCCAACGACTGGGGCAATGCCGGTGTCAATATCACCCAAGAGGGGACCTTCTTCAAGTCACCTTACATGTTCAAGCTTACGCCTCTACCCCTTCTGGCAGCAATCATTAAGCTCGGCGCTGGAGTTGGTCGTATTTAGCTTCTAGTGGTTAAAGATGTGCATAAACACGTTTGCTTGTTCCAGAAAACTGCCCCTCCATGCAGGGCAAAAACCAAACACCGAGCCTTTTCCTCTATCCATTGGCTTGTGGGTCTGCCATGTTGCTCTTCTCCCCAAAATCTGCCATAAAGAATTCTGCAGATCTTCAAAAAAGTAAAAAGTGGTCAGAACGCCACTGAGTGTTTTGGTTTGTTTTCAAGGAGTCCCATTGCATCGTCCCTTCTCTAGACCATTTACGTACGTGACTTTTGTAAGACCTGTGAAACAATATACATTACGCGCGTGTATTCTGACATCGTCTGAGTACTGGCGGATGACTGGAATCGCTGAGAGGTATGAACCACTGTTAATGAGTATTTATCAGACGAATCGCACCGAAAGGCTGCCTGCTTAGAGCCTGGCTGAGGCGATACAACATCTTGGACCATCATCGGATGTAAACTCTCTTAGCGTCCAACACGGGGCCAGTTTGCGTGGTCAGCGCAGCTCTGGAAAATGACAGAGAAATTCTGCCGTTGGCCAAGGTTAACAGCGATTGCTTGAGTTGGGGAATGTTTGATGTGCCGTAACATATAGCCAAGTCGGCGTTGAAACCAAACAGCAATTCCAAGAGCCCAGCTCAATGCTATGCCCCATAAAGCCAAACAATCCCACATGCGTATACCTTCAAAAACGCAGCTTCTCTATATTATTAATCAAAAAGTTGAAACTCTCTTGACGGAAATCGTCAGCTATGAGATCAGCGCTGTCGGCCCCCATATGCAGCAACATGTTGCCGTCTCTCCACTTTGGCCAATTAATCAGGTCGGCATTGGGGGTGCATTTACCGCTGCCGCCGGAGCAGTCGTTTGGGTCCAGGTTGTAAGCGAAGTTGAAGTAGTACGCCCGCGTCGCGGCCCTGGCATAGTTGGGCTTGATGCCGAAGAAGACCTGGAGGAGGTCGGACCCGTGGAACGTGCCAAGAACAGGGGTGCCGTAGTCATAGCTAGCCAAGTAGCTCCAGGTGTTGACTTGTGGCTGGACTTGCTGGAAGATGTTGAACACAGCCCTGCGGGTGAGAGTGAAGACGGCGTCGCCGAGGATGGCAGCGAGTCGCTTGAACTGGGGACGCACTTCGTTGAAGATTGAAGTTCCGAAAGGGGACCCATCAAAGGGCAACGGGCTGTATGTTGCTACCAAATTTTGGACTTGTTCGGGCGAGGCGTTGTTGAAGTAGAGAGTCGAGAGATAGGTTTCAACGTCATCTGTGGTGGTGATATTCGGTTGGAAGAGAGCGAACAGCGTGCCCTCGTCTTCCTGATCCCCCAGGATGAACGGTACTTTGGGCAGCTTGCCCGAAGTTGCGAATACTTCGGCGCTTGAAGGAATGTTTGTACCATCTGGACGTGGAAGATACGACAAAGCAACTGAAGTATAACTTAGCAAAGCTGGCACGGAGTTCGCCGCTTTTCTCATGTCCTGCAAATCTCGGGTTAGTAGCGTGCACAAAATGAGTACTGTGAATAGTGCGTCTTACATCGTACGAAAGGGCGCGGAGACACTTCAACCGATCCTGCGCCCCGCTGCAACCTGCAGCAGACAGTACCTGCTCATAAACCTTGGTGGCTTTGGGACAATCCATAGGATCAGTAGGTACAGCTGATCCCGAGTTCATGATGGCGCCACGGAAGAGTTGCTTTCCGTTCCGTGTGATGTTACCGTTAAACAGAGTGAGCTGGCTGAAGATCGAGATGGCCCCAGCAGATTCTCCCCAAAGGGTGACTTTGTCAGGGTCACCCCTAGAAACATCTAGGGTCAGTGGTGTGACACATGGATGACGGGATTCGATGTGACTTACCCAAAGCTGGCAATATTGTCCTGAACCCATTCGAGCCCCATACGCTGATCGAGCAAGCCGGCATTGGAGCTTCCTTCTTCCATCAGGTCCTTGCCCGGCATGAACCCGAACCCTCCGACACGATAGTTGACAGCCACAAAAATGAAAGGCTTGCCTATCTGCACGCCTTCAGCGACGAGACCAACGCCGTTGTACATTGATGTGCTTCCCAACTCGAACCCCCCACCAAATATCCAGTACATCACCGGGAGCTTGTCCCCTTCTTTCGTTCCAGCCGGTCGCTGGACGTTTATCGTCAAGCAATCCTCTTGCCCGACAGCCAAGTTCTGGATTATGGGGAGGCTTAACACTGTGTCTAGGAGGTCTGGAGGAATCAGAGGCGAGCCAAAATCAGGGGGTATGGCAAATTGCGGGCATGCCTCCGGTTGATCATTGGTGGCGTCGAAGTCTCCCAGGGCTTCCGTCAAGCGTACTGGGGGCTTGAATCTCAAGTCTCCAAGGGGAGGCTTTGCATATGGAATTCCCATGAATGATTCAACCTCGCCGTCATGAAGCCCGAGGATGCCTTTAGTGGTGCCCTTCAGATTGGCCTGTGGCGACTTGATGGTGACCTGAGGGGTTCCGCCGTCTCTTTTCCATGGCACGCCGCATGCTAGTGTAAACAAAGAGACGAGAACGAGCGTCAAGAAAATCATCATAAGAGGATGTATGTAATGGAGAAGAGGAGCTGACTTCCAGCGTGTGCTTTCTCGCAGTGTCACGGGCACAATGAGATAGAAGGACAGCCATGCTGGTGGCCTTGAGCTGACTTATGAGGCCGATCATCCCCGCTCTGCCTTAAACGAATGGGTGAAGAATGATATCATGTTATATTCAGCTGGAACATAATTTCATGAATCATCTTTGAATCTATCATTTGAACTCAATCAATAACGGATGAACCGGGTTCAAGGTCCAGGTAATTGGGCAGCTTCCAGGGGGTTTTCACGCAATGGTGTCCCAAAGCAGGACGTACCGACGCTGTACAGATTCACATGAGCCACCTGGATAGAACGAAAGGGAGTTCGCTTGAGGAATTTGGCCGGCTGTTTGGTGTCAACTCCTACCAAAAGCCGGCAACGACGTCGCAAATGATGGGTCGGCAGGTGTCACCCTTAATCGTATTCGGACGGGTGCAGCTCAGGGTACCCTTTGTTTCAGACGATAAAGTTGGCTCATCGGCCTCGATTGACTCATGGCCGAGTGGCTTGTTGGTGTATCGATGTTTTATAATGAGGCTGATACGCTCGGGCTAGGTAAAAGTCAATATTTTATGACGGCTTATTACACAGAATTCCAGACGGGATGCGACTCGGGATCCAGTCCCACCCATCCAACCTCGAAAAGAATTTGGGTTCGTCGGAGCACTCTGGGCAATTCCTTGGACTTTGTGTTTGCTAGCTTCCCGCGGACACCACGTGGGTGTGTGCTACTGTTCATACACACAGGCTGATGATAACTTCCGATTAGCTTTCCTGTTCTTCCAGAGCTATCTAGACGCTTCTTCAGTGGCATTGTCCAGCGATATCACGTGTGGCCGGAGATGGCCTTGGGTTGGTATAGTTCCTCCAAGTATTTGTCCTCCTCCTCGGTTAAAACCTTCCCATCAGCAGCGATGGCCTGGTCAATCCGATCGACACTGCTGAAGCCGATGATGGGGCTTGTGATGCGCTTGTTGATCCATGCAAGAGCCACGTGGGCCATGGGCCAGTCTCGCTTCTCGGCGATTTCCTGCACACGCTTTATAATGGTAAGATCCGGCTCGACTGTCCCGTGGCTGCCGGGTTGGCTCTCCTTCTCACCCTTGCTACGGGCGGTGGAACCAAAGTCCTTTGGAGGTCGTGCCAAATGACCGCGGCCTAATAGAACCCAAAATTAGCATGACATCAGAGAGAGGTTAACGAGTATAGACTTACATAGTGGGGCCCAAGGGATAAGACCTACTCCCGTAGCATTGCAAAAGCGGTTCATTTCCCTCTCCTCCTCACGGTAGAGGAGGTTGTACTGGTTTTGCATGCTCACAAACTTGGTCCAACCATTCTTCTCCGCCACAAACTGCATCTGGGCGAATTGCGTTCCCCACATGCTGCTCGCACCGATGTATCGCACTTTACCTGTCTGGACGAGATCGTGCAGTGCCTTCATCGTCTCTTCAATGGGCGTGTTGGGGTCGAATCGGTGGATCTGGAGGAGGTCGATGTACGAGGTATCGAGCCGCTTCAAAGACGCCTCAACCTGGTTGAAGATGGCGCCTCGCGACAAGCCCCATTGGTTCTGGTAATCTTTCGACCTGTTCACTTCGTCGCGGTATACGAAGTGGCGGGTCTCTGTAAGCCCGGCTGATTAGTGACTAGAACTCAAGCTTTGTCCTGCGAAAACCTACCGGGGTCCTCGCCGACGGCAAAGAAACACTTGGTCAAGATGACGACCTTTTCGCGCGGAATGTTGTACTTCTTCAGTGCCTTGCCAATAGTGACCTCGGACGCACCATTGGAGTAGACATTGGCCGTGTCCCAGGTATTCAGTCCGCGATCGTATGCCGCCTTTAGAAGAGGAAGAGCCTAAGTAACCGTGCCATTAGTAAAACAGACGACTGTCATCAATAGCAGCAGTCTAGGTCTACCTCATCCTCATTCAATGCCCAGCCCAGCGTGCGGGAATCACCAAAGCTCATGCAGCCGAAGATAGGGACCGAAACGCGTAGCCCGGACTTGCCGAGCTGACGGTACTCAACCTTTGTGTTCTCAAGTCCCTCCTTGAGGCGTGCGGGAAGCTCCTTGGATGCCATTGCTGCTGCTGTCTGCTGATGAGGTGTGTAGTATGTCTTATGTGATATCACGGCGATTTGTTTTGACGAACTCGAAAGCTTTTCTTTGAAGAGCTTCACAATTGATAGAGAGAGGAGGAAAACGCTCGAAAAAGATGGCGTTATAATCAGTCACCCTGAGAGCTCAAACGTCATGGACTCGATCGCGACATAGCAAGGAGGGCGGTCCCCGGGTCTGAGACAATAGAGCTATTACCCCGCACTGCGCTGAGCGCCCGTCCCTCCAACGGCAGATTCAGTAAGCAATAGTTCCGTCCTTGCCGATTATGACGTATTAAAGTCTTCTGGCGGAGGTGATGCATGGCTCTCCGCCCGCGCCGAACGTAGCCAACGGGGTTGACTGGCTATTGTAGAGCCGGAAGGAAACAGGAGTGAAACGGTTTCTGTTGGTTCATGGCTTGATCCATGGCTCTGAAGCCGTTTCTATTGATTCATGGCTGACTGCAAATGGCTTGGCAAGATAGTCTTGACTAGAAGAAGCACGTTAGTACTCATTTTCTTATTGATAAACCTGCTGTTGGGAGTAAACCAACATGTTTAGTCGATGAGATACATGCTTGGTATAGTAGTATCAAGCGGCCTATGTGTACATCAATTGGCAGGTATCCGTTCTCCAATCAATTGTAGCAACCAGCACTCTTATGGGAATGAGTAGGTAGTCTGCAGCCACATCTGATTCTTGGAGTGATGTAGATTTACAGATATTCCTATTGGTTATGCGAGCGTTCCACGATTATATCGGCACATCGGGAGCCTAATGAAGTTGAATTTGCCTCCAAAGCTTTTTATTTCTGTTTTTATCTTATTTTGGCATGTGTACCTATGCCCACTGGCTTTCCTTATCAGTTGTACAGATCGTCTCAGTAAACCATTAGCCAAAAGGCGTGACTAAGGCTGTGCTGTGAGCCATCCGAGAATTAGGCTGAGCCTTAACTACATAACCACGCTTCACGTAGACATTATAGAGTTGCCGAAAAAGGTCAAACTACGATGAGGATGGCGGGAAACCCGGGTGACAGCCTAACCAGCCAGCGATGCGAGAGCATGATCCTTTGAACCAATAACCAATTGACGGCGACTGACTCAGGCAGTGCATGTGCATGTGTGTGGCTAGCTTTTAGTAGGGCCACCCTAGGAACGTCGCGGTCACTGGTGGGACTTGGTGGGCGCCATAACGGGTCAGAAGTTGGTAGGAATACTAAGTCATTGGGCGAACGGACCAACTGGACGAGTTTTTCACGGTGGAAACGACCGTGGAGGTCGCCGGCGTAATTCTTATCATGCAGACGGAACCCTAACCTTCGGATACGACACACAACTCGCTGGCGTGATCAGAGTGGCCTTGCCTAGGTATCCGGTGGTCCGACCTCAATAACTTCACTTATTGCAATTAGAGCAGATCGCAATACACGTCATTGAAATATTCAAAGACTAGACTTGAATAAGCAACCATTTTCATACCGAACCTGCGAGACGATTACGGCCTAAAATGACGCACCAGAACAGCGGACACACTGTCTTGCTTACCGAGCAGGAAGCGCAACGCATTCGGACTACCGTTCAAGAAACGCGAAAACAATGCTTGGAGCGCAAGGGAAACGCAAGGGGGTTTAGAGATGCCCACGCCACAGTCAGCCAGGCTACTGGCACCTCTCTCATGATGGACATGGGCAGCATGGCTGGACAAGGCCAGAGAGACACACTCCCAGCTCTTGGTGTTGGGCAGACCTACCCGCCAAGCACAGCATCCCTTGAGGCCCTGAAGCCCATGGTGTTCACTGAGCTTCAGATGGGCACTCACCACCGCGGCCGTTCACTCATCGTGAAGCGTGCCAACCGTTGTCCGGTAGTGACCCTTGCAGCCCGGTCATGGACGGTAGTGCAAGATGACGAAGAAAAGGAGACTGAGCGGATAGAGATTTGCCTCCATAAGACAACCGATGGTGAAGATACTCTGGAATCAGCACGTCGATATATCATCAAGGAGCCTTACTTCACATTGACAGAGGACGGTGAAGCCACAATTCGAATTGACCATCCTTCAGACCTGGTCGTGTGCAAGGAAGAGATTGTGAAGGGCAGCTCCGCTCGAGTCGAAGACACGGCTAAAGCAGAAGAATTGGCGAAAAAGTGCAAAGACAAGGGCAACGCTGCGCTCCAAAAGAAGGATCTGACCCTCACTCGCGAAAGTTACACTCAAGGTCTCCGCCTCGCCAGACAAGAGGCCGTCCAGAAGACAAATCCTGATTTGGCCCGGGATATTGCTCGTAACCGGGCTCATGTCCACTTGCTCATGGACCGACAAGATGAAGCCATCGCCGACGCCAAAGCGTCCTTGATCGGCGCAGATGACCAACGATCCAAAGAGCTCGATAGCAAAGCCTACTTCCGCGCCGGCAGCGGTGCGTACAACCTGGGTCAATATCAGCAGGCCAAAGAGTATTTTGAAAAGGCCAAGGAGCTGGCCCCTGAGGGAAAAGGTGCAGCAATCTACCTGCGAAAGATCGAGATGCGCCTGCGTGAGCAAGCGAAAGGAGACCATGACTTGAAGAAACTCAGGGCCAACCTCTCCCGAGCTTCTCCGCGGGCTGATGCCGCCAGCTTTACCAGCAAGACTGAAGTCAAGAGCAGTACGGGACGGGGTCGTGGCTTATTTGCTAACTGCGACATCGCCGCTGGGGAAATCGTCATGGTTGAGAAGGCCTTCTGCGTGGTCTGGGGTCACGAGAACGACGTCTTGACCGCAATGACATACGACGTGCGCGATGACAAGATTAGAGTAACGCCCGTGGGCTTGACCAAGGCCATTACACAGAAGCTGCTGAGAAACCCATCCCAGATCGATAGAGTGATGGATCTCTACGGCGACTACCAAGGCGAAGGCAAAGCGCTAACCAAGACCGAGGAAAGCCCCGTCGTGGACGTGTTCCGGGTCCATGATATCGTCTCGCGCAATGCCTTTGGCCCCGGTGGCCAGTACGGAGAGGAGGGCGCAAGGAATGCGAGCACGGGTCTCTGGGTCTGGGCTGCCTACATCAATCACTCCTGCGTCGCCAACGCGAAGAAGGAGTATGTCGGTGACTTGATGGTGTTACGCGCCCTGCGCCCCATCAAGGAAGGCGAGGAGATTTTCCACAGCTACGACGAGTCCGCAGACTACGAGACAAGACAAAGGGCTTTGATGACGACCTGGGGCTTCGAATGCAGCTGCGCGCTCTGCACCGCCGAGAAGGCGGATGACGAAAAGCTGCGGAAGAAGCGCAGCAGTCTGGCGAACGATGCGGACGATTTCGTCAACACAACCCATTGGGCAAACGCTAAGCGGATTGCTATTTCCAAGGCCCAGCGCCTCGCGCGAGAGATCGACGCTACCTACGATGAAAAGAGGTACCAAAATCTGCCGCGCTTGGCTTCGGAAAGAATCCGCGAATGGCTTGCGAAAGCGAGCCCTCTCAACTCATGACATACTAAACGTACATGGAGATTCGCACAATAGACCCCTTTCCAGCGCTATTCAATACAGTAAAAGGTTTAAAAAGATACTCGCTTGCTCGCCGGTTTACAATCGTGTCGCAAGAAACCCTAGACTGCTCATTCGGGCTGGACGCTTCAATTCTTTTCTCCCAGACGTAGTCAGGGAGAGAGACATGTCTATTATGTTCTTGTTCAGCAGTCTATTACATCCCACAACACTACCCAAACATCAGCCCTCTCTCCCGTAGCCCTCGCTCGCCATATATGAAAGCCACCGCTGAGTGTTGACATGTTCTCTGCGCAGCTTTATAAGCTTTAGACGCATATGATCATGTCCAACTATGACCGCTTCCTCCTTCTCAACTCTTTTTCTAGGTTACGCGATGTGCGTAATCGGCCAAAGCATACTAACGCCGCTACAGCAGACACAAATGGGTGCATATGTCTACCAAAGCACCATGAAGCACTGCAAGATGCCCAAATCAGCATTCTATCAGCAATGGAAGACGTCACTAATGTCTTTGCCCCTCAACTGGAAATGAAAGACCGATCAGCTTTCGTGAAGACCTTGCTGGATGTATTACAATTTGGCATAGGAGTTGCATCGGCCGCTTTGTGAAACGTCGGTGAGTCTGGATGGTAGACAGCAATGGAATAAACATACTGACTTGGGAAGGTTATCAAAAACGCCGCGATATCCGCCTCTTCCGCCTTTCTCAGTTTCGCTAAGGATAGCTTCAACAGTGCAGCCTCGTCTTCTCTCGCTCCAAGCAAAGACAACCCAAAGGCGTGGGTAGCATCGCACTGGCAAACCGACGACTGTGCTCAAAACCAAGACACTAATCATAAGTAATACAGTGCCAAGGACGCTATTAGTGTGCAAAATGACCTCACTTCTGCTATGGGTACATTATTCGACTATGGGAAGAAAACGCAATCCGACTACCTGTCGGAGATATTGTCTTGGTCAGACCAGGCAACTATAAACATGCTGGACTCGTCGATTCGAGATGGCATGATGAACATATGGTGCCTGTCGATGTCAGTCTATCGGAGATGACGAAAGTTATCTAGACTATCGTATTGGGGCAGATGATTCCCACAGCATGGGCAAATGCGCCAGCTGGATTTACGCCATTCGTGCTGTAGGTAGAGGTTTAACAAGCTCTCCTTATGCCCCGAATCGTGGAATTTCGTTTATCAAATCCAGCTGACGTCGTTCGGTCTGTAGTAAAATGGGTGATGCATGCTCACTCACCATGCCCGAGACCTTACACCCGTACATGACGCAAGACACACACGAGAGATCGAGTGTCTTCTGGCTTGGAAATCAGTGCTGGATTCTGGTATTGTTTCACGAGACGAATAATGGGACTCAAAATACTCCACTCAAATAGATTTTCTATAGTTATATATACCCCCGGGTCAACATGTAGTTATGCTTGTACGGTGTAATTGATGAAAAGGTTTCCGCAAATGCTAAGATGGCCGTCGAGACATCATCAGATGCCATCATACCACGAAAAGAAATAGCTGCAACTCCACTATGAAAGCTGGCCTTCTCCGTTCTTGGAATCAAGCGCCTTATTCAGGGCTTACACCATCAAAGCAGGCTCGGCGACTAGCTTAGGAAGATATCCCAGTATGCGAATCCCGGCAGTGACGATTGTTCCAGAAGTAGCGATACCGTCATCAAGAGAAAGCCCGGGTGCGATAACTTCTTTACAAACATCGTCCAGTTTGATGTTGCTGAGCTGTGCTGGGCCCTGTCCTCTCTGAAGAACGTCTTTGATCAACGCTGCCGTCAAGGGGTTGAAGAGCATAGAGGCAGGGCCGTAAACGCCGCCGGCGGGTCTACCCGCGCAGACAGATTGGACCTTGATATTGGTGACACCGACGCGGCGGGTATCGTTGAGATACTCAGAGGCAGCTGCGCCTTCCTGGAGCTGGACAACCTCATCCAGGACGGCACTGTAGAACGTGGTCGTTGGTACATAGGCATCAGACCCACCGCGACCGCTGAGAGTATTGACAAAGGCATATGTATATTGCTTTTGGATGGCGGAAGGGTCGCAAGGGGCGTTGGGGGCGCCATTACCGCCAGCAAGGCATATAGCATTGGCAAGAATAGTGCCGTGGAAATCAGGTGAGACAGGGAAGAAGTTTGAGACCACACTCCGAGTTGAGGGCCAGAACGTGAATGCCCACTGGGTGTCGAGGCCGCCTTGGGACCAGGAGATGACGCTGGAGTTTTTGCCGCAGATGCCGTTGATGTAGTTGATAGCGTAGGCAACGTATTCTGAGTTGGTCCGGGGCTCTCCAAGAAGAGCACCAGGAATGTTGAGCCAGACTGGGTCGGCGTAGGGTACGTTCGACAGAAGCTTTTGAAGATTCGGGCCGAAAGCCTCTCCACCGTAGACACCAGTTCCGGGAACGAAAATGACAGGTGGTTTCTGGCCGTAAGTGAAGCTCTGCGGAATGAAAATGGCCTGTCGCAACTGCGCCTCAGAGAGCGAGTAAGGGGCATCGGCAGCATCTTTCCGAGGCCAGATAGGTTTAACTGGGTTCCGGATATTGTTGTTGTTGATAGAGTCGATAGCATCGATGGGAACAACAAGCTTGTTGGCAAGGTCCAGACTTCCCAAGGCACCGGTGCCAAGGAGCCCCTGAAAATTGGAAAGGAGGCCACTCGGAACGATGCCCTGGCCAATTTGCTTTTGTATTTTGTCGAAGAAGTTTCCTGCCCCACCCGTGTTCCAAATAGACCCTAGCTTCGACTGAAGATCAGCCTGGTTGAGAACTCCGGCGCCCGTCAAAGGTTTGGTCCCGACAACACCGGTCAGGCGTTGAGCGTAGTCGACGGGAAGGGTAAGTAGATTCGTCAAGCCACCGACTGGGTCAAGAAGGCCGGCGGGAGCGGCGTCTGCGGACTGCAGAAGGACCACGACCACCGCGAAGTTTTGGAGTGAAAGACGCATTCTTCTCAGATAACGAATGGCAGGAATTGAGCAGTAAGGCTAAGGAGACTTGGGAATTATAGTTGACGAAGCGAATGAAACGGAACCAATGATGAAGCTACTGACTTGGAGCCCATAACAATAATTTCAAAGTAGATCTTCGGCGCTGTTTATAATCTGAAATAACCCACACGAGATGCCGCGTTATTTGGCGTCACGAAACGCAATGGTTGTGCATCGTTATTTCGCCGAGGCTACTGGAAGGCCAGATGCTGTAGCGAATCCGTGTCTGCGAGCTTCTTACTGAATTGGGCCTGGTATTATGGACAAGCCTGCCACAGGTTGTCGATCATCAAACTAAACTGGTCAATTACCGGTTACGAGGGCATCGTACGCTATTGAAAAACCTTATCTTAGGGTATTGTTACTGCGCATCGGTCATAGAGCCCGTAGTCTTGAGCACTGGAGCTAAGAACTTCCCGTCCCAGCTGTCCCATAGCGCCGCGCGCGGACGATATTCTGATAGTCTCTCAATATTGCACCGTTGAAGCATCCCGCAACACGATTAGAGTGTTCTCTGTTGTTGCTACCCATGCCAACCGGCGTTGGGCCGGTGATTGGCCTGGTTCCGTCAAAGCGCCACCGACAGTTGCCAAGAATTGTCGGCGGTGACAAAAGTCCTCAACATGACGAATTGATGTTTATCTCTACAAAACAGGTCTACTCGTCAAAAGAAAGGCTTATTTTAAGACCAACGATTCTTCAAGCTGTTTATGCTTCGGGCCGACTAGCACGTATGCGTACTTACTTAGAGGTTGCCGGAAGTCATTGGTAGTCACTGTGTCGCGGTCACACAAGGAGAAACAGCTCTTCCAATACCTTTCTCGTAACTTAAACAGTTCAGTAGCGTTAGGCGCCCACAGGGGGGCACCAGGGGGGCACCAGAGTAGGGCCAGGTACAGATAAACTATTGACCAAGGGACACATAAGAGGAGAAATCTATAGAAATCCTAGGTAGAGGGAAAAGTAGATAAGGATAATTATTATAATCAAACCCTAACTACACTAATTATTAACTTCTTTACTTAATACTATCCTAGCTTCTAACAAGTAGTTAAATTGATCTATATTTAGGTCTATACTGTCTATTTTAGATAGTTGACTTAACAACAGTATAAGTTCTAAGTAATGTTTACTAAAACAGACATTATAAAGAAAAGAAAACTAGACTAAGCCTTAGAACATCTAACACTTTAGAACAGACACCGCTGGTATAAATAAACATCTTGATCAGAAGACTCACTTCAATGACGCTGGGCAAATAGTGTTGAAGCGACAGCCTGACAGACACAGTATCAGCTTGTATCATCTAACTGCATCGGCTGGATATTGGATCTGTTGCGATGTTGACCATCGCCTGGATATTGGCGGTATGGATTAACGCCGAACGGCCGGAATAACTACGGCCGATTCGCCGTAGATCCACTAGATTTATAGGGATATTACACAGTGGATTCGCCACGTAATCCTATAATAGTTTCTTTTCCTTTACGTATAATTTAGAACTAGTATTTACCCCTATTATTTATTACTGCCTATTAATACGTATAGTTAACTATATTACTAACCTAGTAAAACTAACACTAATTAGTAGTTAACTTTACTATAACTACTACTAAAAATACTATAGATTAGTAAGGTATTATAAGAAGAGGTAATAATATTATTAACTACTTATAAAGGCCTAAAGTAGGCCCTACTAAAAAACGTTACTATAAATACCCTTATAACGCTATTATACTACACGCCCTTATAAGTTAATTACTAAGATAATAATACCTAACTTCCTATAGTTAGTAAAGGCTTAGTAATTTACGTCTATATATATAAGCCTTATTACTTTATAAAAAGCACTCTTAACTATAAAAAACACCTTACTTTATATACTAACTTATTATTAATTAGTAATTATTTACTTTTTACTTTCTTTTTATTATAAGCTTATAAAGCTTACTAACTTTTTTTTTTAAATATTTTTTCTTATTTTTTCTTTAAGTTATTTTATATTACTAATATAATAGCCTTTATTATTTATAAGCCTATTATAAGCCTTTTTTTTCTAAGTTTTTATTTAACTATAAGTCTTTATAATTACTTATACTACTAGTAGTAAATCCCCTAATAGATATATACACCCTTTAATAGCAGTTAAAGGAAACGCCTATAACTAAGAGGTAGTTAGGCTAATAGAGGGTAATTATAAGTAAGTAACTAAGATAAGCTACTAAAGTAAAGAAGGTATAAGTAACGTATAAGATAATAACGCTACTAGGTAGCCTAAGGTAATTTACCTTAAGTATATACTACTACCTAATATAGCTAAGTAAGTAAAGGTAATTATAAGTAAACACTAAGTGCTAGAAAGGCTAGAAGAGTTTATCCTTACTAACTAATAGTAAAAAGACTATATTACTAAGTTACTATAAGATCTTATAGCTACTAAGAGGAGGAATATACTTACTACTATTACTATATTCTATATCTCTAAGTATAAGTACTATAACTACTTATATAGTATCCTTTAAGAGAAGGCATAATTTAACTTTAAAGACTAGTTAACTAAGGACTTTATAGCGTTACTATATAAAGTAACTAAGGAGTTATATAACTACCTTACTAGTTAAAAAGTATAAATTAACTAATTAAAGAATTTAATAGTTATATTATAACTTTATAAGGCTACTTATAATAATAAGTAAGTTATATAGAATAAAAAGATAATAGCTACTATTACTTATAAAACTAAAGGGTTTAAGGAGTAGCTAATAAATACTAATTTCTATAAAGATATTACTAATATAGTAGTATTACCTATTAAGGCTATACTTATAGCTAAATTAACTAAGTAGGTAGTTACTTATAAATTACTAGTAATTACTAAGGTAACTTTATATAATAATCTATTATTTATACCTCTTTTAGCCTTATTACTATAAAAACCTTAAATAATAGTAATAATATATAAAGCCTAAGTCTAGCTATATCTTTTAACTATAGTAACACCTACTATAACTACTACTATAATAAGTAAATAAAGTAGCCTAACACTAAGGTAATTAACAGACTTAATAAAGTTCTATATAAATAACCTAGGTTTAATATATAGTAGTAGCCTATATAAGACTATTAACTTAAAGTTACTATTTTTTTATAATCTTTATATCTATATAAGTATACTATAAAACTACTATAGTATAGTAATAATAGTAATACTTAAAGGGAAGCTATATAAGTATTATACTACCTTATTACTTAGTTATTTTAATAATTTTAACGTAATAATAGTAAAGCTTAAATAACACTTTAAAGGTAATAAAGTACACCTTTTACGCCTTACTAAGCTTTACTATAGCTCCTTTAACTTAGTTACTAAAAAAAACGCTAGTAAAAGTAAACTTAAAGTGCTTAAAGCACTTATTATATAAATTACCTAGCTAGTATAAGTAACTACCTATAATAGCACCTTATGTAATAAAAATTACTATAAGTAATTACTTACTTACTGCTATAGTGTGCCTAAATACTTTATTACTATTCTTAATCTACCTCCTACCTTTAGTAGCCTTTATATATAACTATATAGTAGTATAGTAAATTTACTCTTTTACTATAAGCTATAGTTACACTTTATTACTAGTAATAATAGTAGTAATAATTTATATTAAGTTAACTATAAGTATAACAGCTAGTGTAACTATAGGGCAGACCCCTAGAGACAGTAAGGCTAGTTATAAGGCCCTCTATAGTTAGCTAGTAGTAAAGCACTATATAATAGTAATCTATCTAGAAAGTGCTTTATCTATAATAAATTAGGCTATTAGTTAACTAAATATATAAAAAAGGAGTAATAAGCCTCCTTTACTAGGTATAAAAACACCTACTATATAATAGCCTTAAAGACTACTTTTAGTTACTTTCTAATTAACTATAAAGGTAATAAGCTGCTTTATCTTAAAGAAGTAAGTAATAATAAAGAAATCTACTTATTAAATAGTAAAAACTATAAATCTACTATGTTTTTTTTATTTACTATATACTTTAGTAAGTAGTTAATTAATAGCCTATCTACTTATAAAAAGTTATATAACTAGGTAACTTTTTATACTATTACCTATAAAAATCTATATAAAGAGGCACTACCTAATCTAACTATAAAAAGTAGTAATATCTTTATATTTAATAACTACTACTTTACGTCTACCTTTTAAGGTATTATACCTAATATAGGTATAGCTAAGATATCTATAGCTAGCTAGTAGTAGTACTTTACCCTTAAAAGACACCTTAGTAAGGAGATCTTACTAAATACTACCTACACTAGTAAAGTAATAATTTGCTTTAGTAGTAAGGATTACTATAAATCCCTTAGTGTAATCTATATACCTATACTAATTAGTAAGCTTGTTTTTTATATAATAATAAGTAATACACTATTTCTCTTTTGCCTATAGGATATAGATTACTATAGTATAAAATTTAATAACCTTACTAACTAGCTTATTAAGAATAAGATTATTATGCCTATTACCTAAAAATAAGGCTATATATAAATACTTTTAGAACTACCTAAAAGTACTATTATAGAGCAGCACCTTATAGATAGTAAATTATACTAAATTTACTACTAATTTAGTTACCTATTAGTAAATTACTTTTATAAGCTACTTAAATAAGTAGGTAAATTAACCTCCCTTACTATGCTTAAAGAGATTAATAAATACTACTATTACTACTAACTTAACATAAAGGCGCCGAGTTACTTTAAGTTTATACTATATAATAACTATAAATTTAATTATAAAATTATTATTAATATAATATATTTAGAGGGTAATAAGCCTATACTTTATATAGTTAACTTAGCTATAGCGTTTAATATAGTAAGATTCTTATATTTAATTACTATAGAACACACTTAGGAGGCACTATAGATATATTAGATTAATATATACCTTAGCCTA